GCTCTATTTAAATGCGATCTCAAGCAGATACTCCAATACTCTAATCTCTTTATAGGACTTGTAAGTTTTTCTTTTATAAATACAGCGTGATAACTTCACACTGTTTTGGATATAATAATATAATATATATAATTATAATAATTATAATTATAAATTAATAATAATAATATAGTAAATATAATTATAATAATAAATATAAATTTTAATAATTAGTTGAGGAACTGAACTGCCTGAGGTATGCAGTAAATCTCTATCATTATTAAAGAGTTAGAGTTATGAAGTTAAAGATATATTTTATATCTTCTATATATGTGGATATAGTTATACGATCAGCTTAGTATAATGATCATAATTAAATTTTGAAAAACTAAGTAAAAATAAAAATAAAGCTATACTAAAATATATTTCAAAATAAATAAAAAGAAATATAAAATATTTTGAACAAAAATATTTTATTAGCGCTTAAAATAGGTAAAAAAAATTGTTTCTACAACATTAACAATATTAAAAATACATTAAATATTATCAAAGAAGTATTTTCATAGCCTATTTCTATAAAAGAAATAACAAATATATAATAAAATGTTTTATAAATCGTCCTATGGAGTATACCATAAGAATGTAACTTTAATATAAAAATTTATAAATCATAATTTACCAAAAAAATTACTCGCATTTTACTAAAATAAAATCATATAAAAATATTACTTATAATAATAATTATATATGCTTATTCAATTACAGAAATATGTGATTAATTAAAAAAAATATATATAAAAATCTAAAAAAAAATTTAATTTTTATTTGTGATTTTACAATATATATACAAAAATTTAATTTTTACAATACAAAAATTTAATTTTTATTTGTGATTTTACAAAATACGAGCCTAAAAATAAAAAAAAAAAACATTTTCTTATAAGTTTCCAATATTAAAATAAAAAATAAAAATAAAGGAAAATAATCATATTTAGCACAAAAACCTTTAATAATTATATTGTAATTCAATTCTAATAATTACATTTTATTAAAATTATAATAGATAAAATATAGATTAAAAAAAAATAAATAAAAAATATATAGCTGAAATTTTACAGATGTTAATATTAAATAATATTATTATTATTATTATTATTATTAAATATTATTAAATATCTATTTAAATATCTTCTTTTATTTTTAAACACTTAAAGTTGATTAAGATTTATTTAAAATCCACAATAAAATAAAAGGAAAATAGTGCGTAGTTCGAACCACTTGACTTTTTAGCTGTCAATAAAACTGTGTCTTATGCACTGCTTAGAGAAATAAATAAGTCGAACCAATTAAGTATAAAGAAAATGCACCCTATAGCATAATTATGTAAGCAAAGCTTAGAAGCACAATAGCTTAATTAGAAAGAGATAGAGCGCACTCACGTTCTCACTCTCTCTCTCTCTCTCTCTCTCTGTCTGCTGGCCTTAAAGACAACAGCTGCAAATTGTAAGATACGCTTAGTCTACGAGCCACGAATATGCAAAACCCAAATGGAACAAAGCCCCAGATGGACAGCAAGACAGGGCGGCAGAGATGATGATGCGGATGCTACTGCTGCTGCTGTTGCCGCTGGACCACATCAGACGAGAGGAAGGCTGACTGTGTGGCTGCCATGCGAAGTGTGGCCCCTGCTCAGCATTAAAATAAGCAAAGTAAACTAAACAAAATTCGTTTATCAACGCCAGCGCAAGCAAAGTTCAGCCAAGGTGCAAAATAATTTGTTGCAATCAGCTTAACTGAAAGCTGGGCCAACTGCTGCAGGTAGCAGTCAGCACTGCCACTGGGCATGGCACACACACAAGCACCGACACGCAGAGTGAGAGCGGGAGGGAGAGGCTGGCAGCAGCCGGGGCAAGTTTTCAATTTAGGTTGAATTATTATGACCTTAATTAACACGTCGTTTCATCATCAAATGCTGCACTACGTCTTACGCTTTTGTTGCACATTTTTGGCACAGCCACGCCCTCCTGTACCACCCACACCCATCTTGGCTGATTCGATTTTCTGCAGACATGCACTTTCCCAGCATCCAGTACTAATCCCCAAATAACTGTTGCTCCAGGGTTCGATGCTCTATCTCCGGTTATTCACTCTATCTCCCCCCCCCTTTCACACTCTAAGTCGCTTCTAATTTTTAGTGTTTTAATTAAATTTTAACTATGAGGATGTCAATGTGGCTTGCACTTCATGCACCTGCTAATTGAGTGCCCGGAATGTTAATTGAAATGCTTCACAAAATGCTTCTCTGGCTGTGGCGTCATCTTTCATGTCAAAACTTAGCATTGTGTTTGCCTAATGATTTCTTTTTTAATTTCCCCAAGGTATTTAGCTAAAGAAGAAGAAGAAAGTGAAAACACACATACACACATATATATATATATATATATATATATATATATATATTTATATTAAATTATATCAAATGCGACGAAGCGCTCGTCCAGTCTCAGCTGACCGCGCCAAGGCGCTGGACATGCGTACATGTTATTTCACATGTATTTGTTGGCAAACACTCAAACACCCACGCACACACACACCCGGAGCCTGTGTGTGCGTGCTTGTCTCGGTTTCCGCTTGGCCAAATTTGTTTACACTTTTTGTGTCCAGTGCGGTGCCCACTCATAATTTAATTTTTAATACCCTGCACGCAATGGATGAGCAAAGGCGGGTGGCAGCGCTATGGGTAATGTGTACATAACGGAACTTATATAGTATATAAAATAGTAAATTAATCTGTCTATATCTCTCTCTTTGTCAGTGTCCCTACCTATCTATCTCTAATGCTGGAGGAACTTCTCTTTGCCTTTCTATCTTGATCTCTGTCTTTCATAAGCTCAACCTCTACGACTCTCTAGCTCTCTCTCTTTCTCTGTCTCTTTTATACATCTTCTATTCTTTCTTTCTTTTGATCTGCTCTCACTATTTTTATTTCTTCATTCTTTTAATACCCATCTCTTGCCATCTCTATCTGTTTCATTCTCTCTGTTTTTCTCTCTCACACTCTTACTCTCTTCATCTCTCTTTTCATAGCTTTAGGGATATCTTCCTGTTCCTTTCTCGCTCTATCGCTGCCTCTCCTCTCGCTCTCTCTCACTCTTTCCTTCTTTCTCCTGTGATTCTCTCGCTTAATTTCTCTCTGTTTTGCTCTTTCTCACTCTCTCTGTTTCTCTGCCTCTCTTTCTCTCTTCCCTGCGTCTCTCTCTCTGTCTCCTTCCCCTCTCAGTATTTTATTATTTCCGTTACAGGGTATCTCTCAGTCAGCCAATTGTAATTAACTCTTACATATTTTTTTGAAATATTTGCCAAAGCGGTTCGAAAACTTTTTGCTGGCCCTGACATATGGCGCTAAGCCTGTCACATTATTAAACTTGCCTCATGAGGCAACCGCCGACTGTCGACTGTCGACTGTCGACTGCCGACAGTCGACTTGCAACTTGTGCTGTGCGGCTCATTTAACAAACTCGTAAATGGAACCAGCTACAGAACCCTTGAACAACAGCACGTGATTTGCATACAACAAAGGACACGCCCCGCCCCCTAAAAAGAAGGGAAGACAACACTTAATTGCATGCAAAATGAAAAGTTTAACAAAAAAAAAATGAGCCAAAAATTAAATGTGCGTTAAATTGCCAATAAACATGGCCAGCATTTTAATAGGCGCTAAAATATACGCTGGAAAATACGAAAACGAAAAAGAAAAAAAATATATATAAAGGGTTTCTTGACTGTTTTTAATATACACAATAATTACTTTTGGAAACAAGGTCAACTTGGGCTATGGCATAGACTAGTTGTAGTACTAGAGCTAATTAGCTTAATGTTGACATTTAGGTATATGTATATATATATGTATATATAGTACATTAACATTTAAATACTCTAGCTTAATCAATTGAACTTTCAAGAGCTTTTGGCATTAGAACAAACGAACGAAAGATCATATATTATATAATATTCTACAGTAAAACGTATATCAAATGAACTTGAAAAGTTTCAAGAGCTTTTCTAATCTAATCTAATCTAATTTATGTGACAGATAAATGTTTATTCAAAAAGTAATTTAGTTTACATTGATGCTCGAGAACTGCTCTTATACTTGCCGAGATATGCCTAGAAAAGCTGGTTGCAAAATCAATCGTAAGTCGAAGAATATTAAGATTAGATATTAAGCAGAAATTGTTTAAATATCTAATATACTGCTATAAGCCTTGTGGATTTATCTCAAAATTGATATCTAGTTTTACAACTAAAATTTCTTATATATTTTTTGCTGCAGTTCTTAGCTCATTTTTAAGCAGATGCCAAATCAAAAAAATCTTAATTTTAACTATTTTAAATAAACAAAAAAAAAAAAATAAATAAAAATAATTTAATACTGATCTAAAAACAATTTAAATTTAAAGCCACTACAATCTTGATACATAAAAATGTATTTAAAATTAAGTGAGTTTGATTAATGCTGTAAATTCACTCTAACTGAATAAATGTATTACAAACACCTCAGTTCATGCAAATATGGACATTTTCGAGCTAATAAAATTTATATGATTTTTATGCTGAGCAGCTGTTCCAACTTTTAAGAGGTGTATATATATTATTGGCACTCAGTGTACAGTGAGCATCAGCAGAATGATCAACTCAGCTGTAAAGCTATGAATATAGATAGAATTTAATGCCATTCATATATAATCTTATGTCGAAAAGAATTCTTCATTTATCTTAACTTATCACGCGGCATAGCTATACAACTTACATAAAAATGGTGTCTGGATTATAGTTGAGGAGTTCAGTCTCCATGAAGTCATGCAGAAGGCGGAGCAACGCGGAAGCCAATATACTCTTCTCGAAACTTAAGAGCCCAACATACCCAGATACAGACCGATCTAATTAAAGGGCATATTAGCTTTAAGTGTGCGTTGACATTAATGTCAGGATTGTCTAATAGAAATTGATGAGGAGATTATTAAATCATTTGTGCTAGAACAGCTCACAATACATTTCCGTCAGATGTAGAATATTTTTTGTAAATTTTTAAGAACGAACGTAAATTTGTGCGATTATTTATTAGACACGAACCAGTTAAAAACAAATTATTACGATATAATGGAACCACTCCGATCCCGTAATACCACCAAGCTAAAGGTTAACATGCCGCAGCAAATTGTCAAATCTGAGAAGAATGTGAGGCACTTGTCGACCGCCAGTCTAAAGATGGTTATAGTAAATGGGAACTTCTGCTTTCTCTTCTGCAGGATTTTACAGAGGACGAGAAGAAAATTATTGGTGAACTAAAGCAGCTGTATATGGATACCATCAATCTGGATGTCAAGATGCAGCGCGAAATTTACAATATGGAAAAATTATACGAGCAAAAACACAATGAGATATTCGACAAGCGCAAAAAGATGCTTGAGTAAGCTATATGCAAATAGATATATTTATTTTATATATACATAAAAGAACTAGTTCGGTTCAATGATCACAGATCAGAGATCTTTTAAATAGAATATGGAATAGTAAACGTGATTCCATTTGAATTCTTGAGCTTGAGTTTTATATCTAGCATAAACCCTTGATTGCTTTTTGAATTTATTTCCCCTAAAAGTTTATCTTTGTAAATCTTGTTACTTTGTGGATTTTATTTGAATGCTTACTTTCTTCCCTAGCAAGCAATCATACCCAAGACTCGTCTTAAGCATTACTTTTTCTGTCCTTAGATTTGATTCATAAAATTCAGACTGAGCTGAACTTCTCAATGTAAACTTCGTTCCACTATAGGTTCTATAGATACTCAGTTACTGAAGTTTATTCCTAGTCTGATTGAAATAAAACTTTTTTCTTTTCCTCATTGCTTCAATTTAATTTAAAGATTTATCTGAATTTCTATACGTTGTATTTTTAAGCTAGTCTTGCTCTTGTCTCATTCTATATCAGAAATTCTGTATTATAGCTCAACAAGTTATGATTCTGTAAATATCCATGGGCAAATGATTCAATTAAGTATCTGAATTTGCTTTTCAATTTGATTCTATTTGAGTTTAGCTCGGATAACATCGGCTCATCGTGGTGTCATCACAACAAATGCAGGAAACTCAATTCGTTTTCAAAACTTAGTTTATAGGATGATAGTTATATTATAGTTTGACCCTAGCTTAACCAGTTCTCTTTGAATACTCTCAGAGAATACAAGAAACAAAATCATGGCGATGCCAATTCAAATGACAATGTTGCACACTTTTGGCTTAAGGTTCTGAAAGCCTCCTACACCGAATTCATTGGCAAGGAGGATGAGAAAATTTTATCGGTGAGTAAAGAGAGCTGAAATTCGAAATGAATATATATAAATATATATCTTGGCAGTACCTGTGTGATATACGAACCAAGCACTATAACGAAGACACCGTCAAGTTTGTAATAGAGTTCACTTTCGAGAAAAACGATTATTTCAAGAATCGTGTACTGACAAAAACCTACATATTGAATTGTGTACCCGACAAGGAGGATCCTTTGGCCTACGACGGCGCTGAGATTGTCAAATGCGAGGGTTGTCACATCGATTGGAAACAGTCCTTGGAGCGCGAGAAAAACGGTTCGTTAAATTAGGAATCTATCAGGGACACTAAGGACTTTCAGCAGTTAGATCTCTCAACAGCTAGGGCTCTTAGCAGTTAGGGCTCATAGCAGTTAAGGCTCTTGGAACTCATAGGTCCCACTCTTAGGAGTCTAAGAACCCAGTTAAGAACCAGTAATCAGTAGTTAACAGATATAAACCGATCCATATATAGTGATATATAGGCATACTTATATACATAGGAGCCCTACATAGTATCTTTTAGTTTCAGATCTATCGCTTCGTAAAGCCAACTCAATCATTCTTATCTACAGATCAACCGTCATTCTTTGACTTCTTTACGCCACCTGTTCTACCAGATGACCCCGAAGATCCGAATTTCTGTGACATAAACGTAAGCTTACCAGACCCTTAAATGATAACATCGATCCTACGAGTTCTCCCATCTGTCTGCATCGTTAGGCCATACTACAGAACGATTTCGAGCTGGGCTTCTATTTAAAGGAGCGCGTCATACCGAAGGCCGTTATCTTCTTTACTGGTGAAATAGCCGATTGCCAGAGCACGGATGCCTCTGACACGGACACAGAGGACAGCGAGGATGACTCTGACGTCGAGGAGGAGGAGGAGTCTTCCAACAATGAAAATGACAAGTAACACCGAATATTTTATAAGCACTAGTTAACCGAGAATTGAATTTCCACACGTGTTTTTCCTTAAACTGTTTTCCAATACTCTTTACACCCGTGAGTTGGCTCTTAGAAAGCGCAACTGAACAATTGTTTTGTCCACTTCACTTCCAATTCTTTCTTTTTGACGGCTACCAAATAAACATTTCATCAGTTTCTCCTTTTCAAAATGTTTATCGTTTGTGTTTGTTTTTGTTTTTTTTTTAATGCTTAACAAATTGGTACATTTCATCAAGCCAGACATACATATTTGTGTGTATATATATATATAGGATATATATATATATGAATATATATGTTCCTCTCAATAACACATAAGATTATATATATATATAGTGTGTGGGTGTTCCAAACATAATACTAAATAACTGCGCCACAGCGTGGAACATCCGAAGGAAGAGATTTATTATTATCATGCCAAGTTTAGGAATTAAGGCTCGTCCAGTTGGGGTTCAGGTTGGGATTGAGGCAGAGATTCAGATTCGTTTGTCGCTTCGGCGCTTACTTCTGGTAGGTGTAAGGCTTCAGCTGCAACTTCATCTAAATTTTCGCCCTGTGACCGTTGCTGGTCATCGCTTTCAACGACGTCTGCTTGCTGCTCTTCCGGTTCTGGTTCTGGTTCTGCTCGGACAAAGGCTTCAGTCTCTGCCGGCTCCGACTGCTCGTCCATGCTTAAATGTGTGGCAATTACCTCGCAATCGGGCTTTAGTATTTTGAATTTGCATAAGCCCAATGGGGTTATGCTCGTGCCACTTACGTCGATATAGACGAGATTTGGCGAGCATTGCACCAGATGCTCCAAAGTATAGTTTGTTATGTGTGGATAGTTGCGTAGCTCGATACGTTCGAGTCGATTGTTGGACGAACGATTTGAGTTGCGTATCCAAACGACGTCCGACTGTACAGGATAGGCGCGTCCAAAGCTATACATAGCCCGGTCTGAGACGTAGCATTGTGGCGGCAGCTGACTGACCGGTGGTCGACTACGCATCCGCCGTGAATATTCCCTATCCAACGGATCGAGCATGTTCCAAAACATCGGATGCTGTACAACCTGTTCCAAATTGCCGCGTGGCTGGGCGCGATGACGACGTGATTGCATGACCAACAGTGGCTCGGCCATTGCCTGCGGATTCATATATATCACCTGATCACGACGCCTCATGAAGCGACTGTGCGCCGGCTGATTGCCACGAAACGTATGTATCTGATCCACCATCTGCTCAATTAGAGAGGCCACCACCTGCGGTCGCTGTCCATCGACCGGTGAACCATTCCGTACATAGAAGTAAGCGCGCGGTGCTTCAATGCCGCCATCTGCTGCTGCTGCTGGCTCTGCTGCATCTGCCGCAGGTTCAGGATTTTCATCGGCATTCTGTGGATTTTCGGCGGGAGCTGGCGAATGACTACGCGCCACACTGGGCAAGGCGATAACCACAAGCGGCGACTGTAAACCTCCATTGCCATCCGCATCGGAGGAGCTATGTCCAGTGCTGTGCGCTGCAGCATTATCTGATTTATCTGAGGACGACGCAGAAGTTGATGTGTCCTCATCATCCGAGCCGGATGAGACACAGCCACTCGGCTTGGCTGTGCTGCCACTAGGCTTATTCGCATCGGGCGCATCCTTTCCATAATTGCAATTATCCGAAGTATATGTTTCGCTGGCGGGCTTGGGAGCTTCTGCATTGGCGTCTTGACTCTGGGCAGCTATTTTGCACGCACGCAAATGCTCCATGGCTGCGCGCGATGTTGACGGTTCATCATCACTCAACATTTTAAGTTGCTCTGGCAATGGGGCTATGGATTCATCGCCTCCAGGCACATTGCCATTTGTTGTTTTTGCTGGACAAGGTGGTTCCTGAGGCATATTGGGTGGCGATTCCAACAGCAGTTCCCGTAGGCCCTCAATGGCGCTAAAGCACTGCAGATCTGAGTTGTTAATGGGCGTCAAACGTAAATCAAGAATCTGTGTAAAGATAAAGACAGTTGCAAGACCCATACTTTGCTGTATATATATATATATATATAAGTATTACATACTTCCAACTTTTGAAACCCAAAGCGAGCTGCCATGCTGCCATAGGGCACGAATTTACACATCATTTGGCAGCCCTTTAGGCTGAGCCGACGCAACGACGGCAGCTTCGATAACGCCATTATATAGTATGGTTCAAACCAATTGTTATCCTCAATGCTGAGATCCTATTGGAAGAAAGTATTAGACAATCAGGTTCTAATTGGCAATGACCAATTACCTCCAAGTGAATCAATTGCTTTTCTATAGTATGAAATATGCTCTTAACATGGTCTCCAACCTTAACGCTGCAATCCTTAAGTTTCAACCGTTTTAGCGAGGCTGGAAATTCTGATATATGTATCTACGAGTAGCATAAGATTTTAGTATATAATGGTCAAAGGAATAAATATATATAGCTACACACGTATTCAAAGTCCAAGCTGACGCCTTGTAATTCAAGAACTTTGAGCTGTGTCGCCACCTTAGGGAACACTGATGTTAGTGTGCAAGTGAATTGCTTAAACTCGCCGGCAACATGCTGCGATGAGGGTGGTCCACGGATTTTAATGGTGTGCGTCTTCTCTGTTGCACGTCCGAGTACCTCCTCTAAAATGCCCAATGGCAGCGGCGCATTGCTGAGATCAATATTGTGCCAGAAGCGATGATCCAAAAGAAAGCTTTCCAAATGCGGAGAGCAACTGGCGAAAAAGAAAAGATAGTACAATATTTACAGAACATTTTTAAACAGTTTCACTCACAGCATCATCGCCAGTATGGAGGCTGTGTCCAAATATTTGAATATCTCATAGAGCAGCTCATTGCAAAAGCTCAACAGACAATGTTTTTGAGGTTGTTGTTGTTGCACTTGCTGTTGCTGTTGCTGTTGTTGCTGCTGCTGCTGCTGCTGTTGCTGTTGCTGTTGCTGTTGCTGCTGCTGCTGGTGCTGCTGCGGATGCTGCTGTTGTTCTTTTTTGCGTTGTTTCGGCTCCGGCTGCTCCTGGGGCAGCGGTAGGGGCGCGTCCGCTTGTTTGTGCTCGCAGTCGGACAAGCGCCGCTTTTGCGCAGCAACAAAAGCGTTATGTACACTATTCATGTTGTTAAACGCGCTGCAAGCCAAATTGTTTTCGTTTACGAAAAAAACTCAACTTTTTTGGCAAAGTAAAAAAAAAACAGCAGCTAAAAAATAAACGTCAAACCTGTGAAAATTCTTCTTCATTTGCTATTCCCAGGGACGCGCAAACAGCTGATATTGTGTAGCATACGATAGTTTTAGCTTATCGATACTTAACAGTGCTACATAGTGACAACATTGACAGTATAGCATTTTAGAGCACTGTAGATCATTAGCTCGTGTATTTTGGCTCTGCTTTGCAGTCTTATTGAATTAAAAATGTTAATTGTACGACATTTACGTAAACTAAATGCGCCGCAACGACTGCAGCTAAATGTGGACCAAACGCGTCGCGCACTTTCCGATGCCAACCTGCAATACGACAAAGATCCCCAGCCGCTATTCACAGATGCCGAAACACAGCGTCTGCTTCAATCCATGACGCAACTGCAGCTGGAGAAGGTCTTCAGGAAACGAACCGTTGCGGATAACAGCACGGAAACGAAATTCATGACCACTGCACAGCTGGAAAAGGAGTTTTTGCTAACCATTGAAAAGGCTAAGAAACTGTTGCAAATGCCGCCGGTTGTGCAGATCAAACCGGACACCGAACGGGTCATATCCAAGGATCCGGCACTAAAAGATTTCGACGATTCAAAATACGTTTTCACGGACATCAGCTTTGGTCTCAGGCCATCGGAGCGCAAGGTAGTAGTACGTGATGTGGATGGAACCTTATCCTATGCCCCACTAGAGACACAAAAACGTATGAATCAATTGTACTTCCCATTGGATGGCCGCAAATCCTATACGCCTCGCATGTTTAGCGACAAGGAGCTGCTGCAGCGTTGTCTGGATGAACACAAATATGAATTTGTTCTGGATCGCCTAACGGTGCAATATGAGCCCTATGAGACCGAGTTCCATAATATTTCCGCCAAAGTTTTTACGCATTTGAATGAATCGAAGCAATTCGATTTACTGCGCTCCACCCGTCATTTTGGACCAATGGCCTTCTTCTACGCCTGGCATCGTTGCATCGATGATCTGCTCTACGATATGATACGACGCGATTATCTGTACAATGCCGTCCAGCTGATTGCGCTTAGCTATAAGATACATAAGGTGCCCGTGGAGTATGGGCAAACGCTTAGCCAGTTAGAGGCACTGCAGCCAACGCCTGCCGAACGTGCGCTCGAGGAGCTGCGCAGCTGCTTGCAGAAGCCATCGGAGAAAGGCATTGAGAAGGAGATACACGCGGCCATTGGCAAAACAGAGCAAGATTTCACAGCCGACGAACTAAGCTTGAAATTCATTGAGCAATACATTGGAAGCGAACATGCGCTGAAGAAGGTGCAACTGGAACTGGCTGTGCAGACTCTTAAGGAGCTAAATCTGGAGAAGTTGCAGCTGTTTAAGGGCTTAAAGAAGGCGCACGGTGTGCAGGCATCATAAGAGCACACATCTTTATTATTGTTAATAAAAAATACGAACTAAGCTAAATGTAATTTATTCATTTTATTACGGCGTATCAGCAGCTGGCGCAGACGCCTCTGATACTTCTGGATGCAGCGTCGACTGTGCAGCAAACAGCGATAAGCATTGCTAAAGAGTCTTAAGCAGATGGAGCAGCGATTGATCTTCGATTTGTGACGCGACTTTGCCGAGTTCTTGCTCAGAAAATAGTGTTTGGCCTGTTTGCATGTGGAGCTCAACATGCGGTGCACCAGAAATTGTGCGCAAGAGCTAAATCTTTGACGGCACTGCAAGCAGTGATATTCCTTAATGGTCAAATGGTTGCGCAGATGCCACCGGAGCTGTCTCTTCGATGTGATCACATAGCTGCACTGCAAATGGGGGCACTGCATGTGCATCTGTGGCTGAGATTTGGGATTAGCACGTGCCCTGCAACGGTACTTATGTTGCTCGAGCAAATGCTCATGTTTGATTAGTTGGCCACAGTCGGAGCATAGCGTTTGAGGTCCATAATGCAATTCCATATGACGCTGGTGCTTCACAAACTCTTTGGCCACTTCGCCACATAGGAGGCACCCGAGCATGCCATTGGGAAACTGGTTGGTGCGCTGGCTAACGTACAAACGAAATTTAGTCTCTTCATTTGTGTCCTCAGTCGATTCTATTGCAGGCTTTGACGTAAACCAATCTTCATCGTCTTCATCGTCTTCCTCGTCCAGCTTGCATTGAATGCCCACATCTTCTGTGAGAACCTGTTCCGTTTGTATGCCGCGTATGCGGAAAGGAATGCTGTTGACATTGGTTAAGTTGTCTATTGTCACGTTTCCTTGCTCATTAGAAATTACTTGACACTTATCCATCTCAGTTTTATCAATATTTTATTGCTAGGTATACTGAATTTTAAAACACCTTAAGCATCTTGTCCTTTATCGGAAAGCTGGTTAAAGAATATCGATAATCGGGTTTTGCCACCAACCTGACATTCACATGTAAATAATTTTTGTCAGCCCTTGTCATCGGTATCAAAGTGAAAGGAAATAAACCGCATACAACTGGCGGCCCTTTCAAAAGTTGTACAATCAATAGATAATTTTAGTTGTTTATTAAAACGTTACAATTTAATTCTATTACACTTTTGCTTATAAACGAAAGAAACAAATCATCGTCAATTGGTACAATTCATCATATTTTATACACCGTTATCATAATCCGAACTTCACACAACAAATTATTAACTTAAAAATTGGGCGTACAAGGTAAAAATAAAAAGAGTTTAGCAAATTATATATGTATATATGCGTGGACAGATTATAATCAAATATAAAATCAGTTAATGTCTCTCATTTGGGGCATAAAATCGCCGTATTTTATGTACAAAATGAAATGTCTTACATGTATGTATATACGAAGAGTTTGTTGTTTCGTTGAACGTGCTCGAATGTTTTTTCCATTTTTTTGTTTGGTGGGCCGTAGTAACATAGCCTGGATATTGCGGAAGTCCCTTATCAATTTATCAAATAGGTCAAGTTTTTTATCTTATTCTTTTCTTTCTTTCTTGCGGGTTCGGTGTCTTGTTGTTGTGCAGCTCCTGTTGTTCCATTTTATGGTAATTCTAACTAAATGATCTCATTTGAGAGTTAATCGCAATAAAAGTCAAATTTGCTTTTGTTTTACTTTCGTAGCGAATCTATAGAAGCTCTACCACTTCTTCTTGTGCTCATCCATGGAGACGCCACCGGGGCCCAATGAAACTATCATGAGCAAGCCACCGATAACCGAAAGTGTCTGTAATATGCAAAAATAATAGTTATATCTCATTCATAGGAAATATATATATAAATATAGGCTTACCTGGAAAAAATCATATTTCAAGAAATCTCTGAGTGGCTTGTACGAGGGAATAGTCCACCAGGCATTATGATATAAATTGAGCACCGTTAGCAGCGCAACCAAAATTAACGCCGACAACTTTGTCTTGTAGCCCAGCACAACGAGTACCATCAAGGTGGAGCCGATGATGTCCTGAATGACATTCCACACACTCAACTCGAAACGGATGAGTGTGATGAACATGAAGGCGAGCAGGATGCGACCAGCCAGCTGCATAAAGTTCTTGGGCTTGTTGTCACCCAGCGATGGCACACCAGCAAATAAGCTGCGTCCCTCGATTCTGGCCTCTGCCAATACCAGCAAAAGAGCCCCGATCAAAGCAAAGTTACGTAGCAAGAACTGGAAATCCCACAGTATGGAATACGCGATTGTCTGCAGCATGAAGTAAAGTATGATAAATCAGGTAAAGAGTGCACAAGATAGAGTCTTAACTGCTCACCTGTAAGACCACAATGAAGAACAACAGACCAACCGCAATATCCACCTTGAATCTAGCCATTACCATGGCACAGCCGCCCAGTTGTCCAAACAGATTCGTAAGCACGAAAACTGTGGCCAAGAACTTGCCGCAGCCCCAGCTCATGTCCATATACTCGCGCTGTTCGTTCCATTGGAAATACATGCGGAGGCCATCCTCAAAAAAGGTGGCAATCAGGCATAATCGTGCAACAGTTGGTAGCACGTATTTGCCGCGCTTGATAACCTTAAAATAGAATTAAAATAACAACAAAATTTATTGATAACAGATTTTCGATTGCATATAATCTTTGAATTTGTGTGTGTGTCCGTGCGAGAGTGAGTGCGTGTATATGTGAATGTAAGCGAGAATGTTGTAACATTAGTTTTAAGCATAAAAAACTAATCGTCCCTTACTACACTTAGAACAATTAGTGTACTGAAATTTAAAAAACAATTTATAAAATAATACAAAATTATTTTATAATAATTAAAATGACTAAATAAAAAATATAAGATTTAATACAATTTAAAATTATTTTATAACCATTCAAATTACTATACAATTAGTTTTACTGATTGGTATATTATAAAAATTATTATTATATTTCTGATATATAACAAATTCTAAATTTTGTATTATAAATATTCTCAATTTAAAAAATTATTCATATGTCTATACTATATTAACATATGTTTACGGTTACTAGAGATTTCCAACTAAAATCCTGCAGCTGTATGAGCAATATTCCAAAGATTGTGTAAATACGAATCTGTTCTGAACTGGTTTGCTATAAATAAAATGCACATATCTACAATTAATAAGCCATATTTCTACATTTAAATTTCGTTTTAAGCGTATGCAAGCGAGATTATATATATATATATATGTATATATATCTTTTTTTTTTGGATATGAACATTTTAAAATATTTTTATAATTTCATTAAATTTTTTTCTAGTGTATTTTGAAAAGATGCATTAAAATATTTGCGTGCGCCGGCAAAAAGCAATTGATAAGTGAATAGCGAGTGGGTGAAGTAAAAAATCTATTGGAATATCGACAGGGAAGCGTCCACTTTAGTTGATTCTGATAAGAGCTCAGAAATTTACAACTTGCTGGAGCGTGGCTCCCTTTTTGTTTTTGTTTTTTCTTCGTTTTTGACAAGACAGTGTTGATTTGGCAAGACTGTGGCGGGTCATGACGTGTCGCTCAGCTGCTCTTCCGTGTTATACTTTGCTTTGAAGCGTGGCTCTCTCCATCTCTTTCAGTGTGTAACGGGTTTTCATGCCTAGCTTTAATATATAATTTGAATATATTGATACATGGACACGCATACACATATATATATATATATATGTATATGCATTCACTCGAATTGTCTCTGATTAGGTAGCCTGTCTATGTGTTAGTGTTTAAGCGGGCTGCCAGATTTCCATTTCCTAAACTTATTACGGAACTTGTCTAGTTCGAGATGGACGACGCAACATTCATGCCGCTTACTCTCACCACTTTCACTAGTATGGACTAAGCACACTCACACATATACACTAACGCACGCACACGCATACACTTGCGAAGCGTAACCGCATATGGCGTACGCTCAACAAATGCCTATTAGATACAAGTTCCTAGATGATATGTGCCTTTTCCGTACGTGGCTATGCAACTATGGATTTACGGCATCCTGGTGACCACTTTCAAGTGCTCGTTGCCAGATACTAGCGCAGCGATTGAGCTTCGAACTTTGCCGCGTTTGGATGACGTTGGCAGTTTTCTATTGCTTTTACTTTAAGTGGCATTGGGAATTTTCCAATGGGATGCTGATTAGACCCATTGACAGTGCAATTCAAACAGTTGCAGCTAGTGTAATTTACTACTTTCTCGGCTTATGATCCTAAAAGAATTACCTGTTCAGCCACATCTTCCGTTTTTGCAATATATTCGTTGGGTATGCTCATATTGGCGGCTGGTATTGGTTCTGTTGGGGTTGTTTATACGTTATTCCAGGCCGACGTTGAAACTTGCAGCATGCAAGTTTGGTTTTAAAACACTTAAAACGTTCACAGTCACTCGGTACACGAAATTATAATTAACAAAAACCAGAAAAATCAAAAAACACACAACACGGGCACACAAGGCTGGCAGAGAGAGCCAGGTGGAGAAATTGTTATCGATAATAATTTGTTTGCGATTAACTGCGACTGGCGATTAACATGAGGGTTGTTATCGAACAGTGCGAAGCAGCGTGCCTTTTTCGTTTTAGAAAAAAAAAACAAACTAAATAAATAACAATACACAAAATAGCATAGACAATAGAATAAATAAAGTTTACAAATATGGCAACAGTGGCCAAACGACAAAAGATTGATGATGAAAAGCCCAGTACTTCGAAGGATGGTCGTTTGAAAAAGAAGTCCAAGAAAAACGCGGCAGGCGGTGAAATTTCAACTGACTGGGACGTCGATGATTACCGAACGGAATACGAAAGCGAGGAACATTGGCAACTGCGCCGTGATTTTATGATGGCACACAAGGACCGCTTTGACGAGGAGCGGTTAGTGTGCCTCGCACAAACATTCATCAACATGGAATTCATGGGCTGCAAATATCCATCGGAAACAATGCTCCTAGTCGCTGAGTTGTCCAAAGAAATTGCCGAAGAGTTTCGACAGAAACGGGCACAACGATTGAAACGCACATTTGTCAACGCATCGGATGCAGCGGAACAGCGGGCCAAAGGTAGACGGAACAATCAAAAATAATAATATGATAAATGTACTATAAGCGACGGATGAAAATGTTTTATATATTACTCGTAAATATATATATATGTATGAGCCTCAAACCTACAAAACCTGATTACACGTATTCCAAATCAATTAGGCCGGTCATTGCAGAAGCACCAATTCCAAATCCAAAACCAATCCATCACCAGCAGAAATCGCATGCATTTCGGCGGCGGCGCTCCACTAGACCTTTACGAAGGCTTGCGCTTTGGAAAACTTATACTTTATTTAACTGGCGGCCGCAGTTGCTTGCGCAATGCTTGCAATTTAGCGAAAATAAAATACGAAGAATGCTTAAGCGAAACGGAAGAATCGTCCAGAATAGCAGAGATTCGAATAAATGATGAGACCATAGCTAGTGGACATAGCCCACTCCCAAAGGTAGCCAAATTAGATGCATACAAGCAGGCGGTTCTCATGCTACAGACCCATTGCTATAGCATAAAGGTAGGCAATAACCTAGAAGATTAACTAAGATGAGTTTATATTTCTATATATATATGTAGCTGAATGCATCGCGGCCTACGATTAAAGTCGAGAAGAGTAATCAAGGCATTAATATCAATGTAACCAAGGAGTCAGCGGATAGTTTGACGGATAGCAAGCTGGATGCGAGCAACAAAGGTTATCATATGATGCGGCTAATGGGCTGGACAGGCGGTGGCCTGGGACGGCTAAAGCAGGGACGCGAGGAACCTGTGGGGTAGGTGTTTGGTATTATTTGCTTAACCTCTGGCATTCTTCAACAAAAGATTACATTCAAATCATTTCCAGTTACCTGTTCAAAAACAATCGTTTGGGCCTGGGCTCTGATGATACAAATGCTAATCTTGCTGATTACCACAAGCTCATAGAGAACTATGTCAATTCTGATGATATTCGAGACATGCAATTTGATCCCACCTTCTCCAAAGAAGAACGCGCCACGTTTCATCAGTATGCAAAAATAATTAAGGCCTAATCTAATTACTCATTGATTTATTGTGTATTCCATAGCATTGCTAGCAAGTTTGGAGTACGGTCGAATAGTTACGGCACTGGCCAATCTCGTGGCTTGATTATAACAAAGAAGATAAGCTATGATATCATACTCAAGGAGGTGCTCACCAAAAGGAATCCCAAGTTCTGCGAACGTTATTTTGTGCAAGTGCCCATGCAGAAGGCCCACCTGTTTCCAGGTAATGTGGCTGCCCTGGATTTGGACGGCATAATGGAATAGCATAGTCGCGGTTTATATAATTATATATTTGCATATATAAAACATTTTCAGCACATGCAATTTAAACTTAAAGTAAAAAATACATTTTTTAAGAATTTGGAAAAAAAAATTAATTCAAATTTAGTTGCATGAATTTTTGTTTACGCTTCGGTGTGACTGTTTGCTTAGACCTTTGAATGGCAGAAAAAAAAGCGTCTCGCAACAACAAGTGCATTGATTGAGGCTCGTTTTTGTTTTCATTTCGTATGAAATACAAATTGCCTTTTTTCTGAAATAATGAGCAGGTGTCCTCGCTGCAACTGTGTAGCAGCGGGACAGAATCGTCTAGTCACCGACAGTTGTGGCCACAACAAGTGTCGCTTGTGTCTGTTGGCAGATGTAGCAGATTGCTCAGAATGCAAATTAACAATGGAACTACCCGTGGCAGATGCTGGAGAGCAACCAGTGGAGGAGGTCCCATATAAACATATTACTAGCACAACACAAGGTTATCATTGTGCTGTGTGCGACAAGTCCTTTCGCAGTCGCACACAACAGTATTATCATCGTGGATGCGGAAATGAGCTCCTCAAGAAGTTTCACTGCACGCAATGCTCACGTGTAAGTTAAACCAGAATGAAGATTTAACTTAATATATAACAATATGATATTTCTAGCGCTTTGCCACACGGTCGCATCTGAAGTATCACCAGAACAGCCATACCACTCCCAGTTATAGCTGTTCCAATTGCAGCAAAACCTTTAGGCAGGATTTCCTTTTGCAACGTCATATGCGTACCCACAACACATCTGCCTTTACCTGTGAAGAATGCTCAAGAATCTTTCGCAGCCAAAGCGCCCTGAATGCGCATGCTGTACTGCACAGCGGCAACAGCTTACCATACAAATGTGTTGACTGTTCAAAACACTATCTAACCAAGGCTAATTTAAGGCAGCATCGAATGAAGCATGAACCGAGTGGCCCACGGCACAAGTGCAATGTGTGCAATAAGTGCTTCCTACGTTCCTCCACACTTAGATTGCACCAAGCACGGCACACGAAGCGTCCGCGCCATGAGTGCTCCCAATGCAACAAGACCTATAATGATGTGGATGCACTCCAGCGGCATCTGAAGCAACATACAGCCAATCAGCGCTATCAATGCCTACAATGTGACGTCACAGTTAATCGGCGTGACAATATGCAAAGACATATGCGTGCCATGCATCCTGGCATTCAATTCGATGCGGGCGTAAAAGTTTTAGATGTTGAACAAAGCACTACGACTATACCAGCTGCTACAGAGCAGATGGCTGCACCGAATCTTCGCTATAACAGTGTCATCAAGAGTGTGGGCAATGTGGTGCCGGTGGTGGTGCCTGAACTGGAGGTGGAAACACCACTGCCGGACAAAATGCAAAAAGAGAATGTAAAATTGTATCGCAAAATCATACTGGATTTAGATAACGAAGAGTACTCGAATGAACTGAGTTGCACTGGCCTGGACATAGACGAAACAGCGACAACGGCTGAGCAACTCGGAACACAGCAAGCAGAGCCACAACATCAACCATTGCCTGACCAGAGCAGCTCCAGCTTTAGGCATTGGCGCAAGAATTTCAAATACTTCTACGAAAATGAGCACACCAATTAAACAGTATTAGCAATTGATTGCAAATCCTTTAGAAAGTGAATAGGATATTTCGGAAGATCCCTAAGAATTTAAACTAGATGTGAACTGATCAATTGACATAAAGTATAACAAGCATTATAACGAGCTGGGGTCAATATAGTTATTTATACATATAGCTATATGAATTGCTGGCCTGATGCCATATGATACACTAGCAGAGGGTATATTAACTAGGTTATGCTGCGTGTAATGCATATAAAAAGGGCAACTCTATAGCTATGTAGCTCTTAGCTATGAACATGCTACATTAGATAAGTATATATATCTTATTCCAAATATAGGTGTAAAGATTTCTTGTCGTGTGATTGATTATTAACTATATAAAAACTAGTCCCAACTAAAAAAATACATTGGTTATTTGAAATTGGTATATAGAGTATTATGAAGTCGTAATACCCAAATGTTGCTGCCTCGTTAGCATGCGTCAATGCCAAGGGTCTGGGCACCATTCGATGAGCAAGCAATACATAATAATGTTATCCAAGCAGTATTCAAAATGTGGAACGAGCAAACGGAGCTTGAGGTGCTGCAACAGATCTATGATCTAACCCAAACAACTACAGCCGTACAGAATTGGCGCAATTTGTTAATATTTGGCTACAGTCTGCAACGCGACTTAAAGCGCAAATTGCTTTGGATATGGCCCACAGCATTGGATCTGAAGAAACTCAATGGTATGCTCAAGCAGTTGGACATACACCATGTGCTGAGCATTGGTTGTGGCAGTGGACTACTCGAGTGGCTGCTCAGTGCGGTGGCTAACCAAGAGTTAAGCGTCTACGGCCTCGAAAGGGATCCGAATTGGTGGCGCAGCAAATACGCCGTACGCAGTTTTATTCCACTGAACTACGTTGAACAAGCGGGCTCCAAATTGACTAACCATTTCTTCAGCGGCTGCTGCTCGGGCGTTACGCCTTGTGCTTTGCTCTTTTGCTACTTTAACAACCGCAGTGCTTTTCTGGATTACCTAAGTGTGTTTGAAGGCAAATGGCTTATATTAATAGGTCCACAGCCTGCTGTAGGCATACACACAGACCCGAATCCTCTGCAGCCGCAGCTGCCCGACAAAGAGTGGGCGTTACGTGAGCTTTGCGACTGGACTGATCAGAATGTGGTCGCCATCTACGAGAAACGTATTATTTAGCTAATAATAGTTATATATTTAAAATAATTTGTATTAATCTTGCGTTATATATATGCATATGTCTAACCCCTATTGACCTCTATGTGAAACCTGCAGGCAGGTATTGTCTGTACCTCAGCTGTGACAGTGCTATTGATACCCAGATTACTTAGCGCTCCGCGCACCAGACCGCAAGTGAAGGCCACAAATTTGGGCGCCTGCTCCAGCTGCTTGGAGCCAGGCGAGATTCGTGTGAGAAAACGGAATGCCTTATCCTGCACCACATACATGCCGTAGTTGTTGGTGCGCAAGTTATCGACTTGTTTCTTGTAAATCAATATCCAAAAATCGGTGCATATAAATTTCATGGTCTCCAGCTCATCTTTGAATCGCGCGACGTCACGCGTAAGACGCTCGATCAAACGATAGCCAGTTGTAAAGCCAATATACTCTAAGGTAGCCAGATCATTTTGATCCTGCAAAATACATTTGTTTATATATGGCTTATTTATGATTTCATGTTTTACCTTGCTGTTATTTAGGCAATAATTGACTATTTCTGCATGCAGGCAATCAAAAACAATTTCCTCCGACATAATTAACACAACAGTGTATATTTTCTATAAATTTCAGTAGAACTTAACAGCTGACCAAGACGTTAGCTTGTGAACGGCAATCATTGCACATGCAGCTGTGAGTGGGTAAAAATTGTAATTTGTCAAAAGCAAACAAACATGATTTTCTATAATATAAAGTGTTATCAAGTGGCGAACTTACACTCTGCTATATGTATGCAAGTACATAAATATTTCTGTGAGCAAGCAATTAGAATAGGTTTATTTAGTACTGTTTCTTGAATCGCCCTCGACAGCTGACTGCGATGATAACATGTGAATGGCTAAAGTCGCGCTTACGGCTGTCAGTGGGTAGACACCCCTGCTCAGCAAGAGATGTATACAAACTTCGTGGCTAAAAGAAAAAAATTTAATTAGTCAACAACAAAAAAGCTGTGAAGTGCATTTCATGGGCAACATGGCAAGCCTGGATCTGCGACAAAGCTCAACGCTCCACAGCCTGGTGTGCCAGTCTATATTGGTGCTGTTGTGTTTAATCTGTTATGGCTATGGCGGTCTAAGCGGTGCAAAATTTGTGTTCGATGACACTGTGGCCATTGTTAAGAACAAAAATGTCAACACACTGCCTACCAATTGGACGGCGATCTTTAGCCATGACTTTTGGGGTGCGCCGCTCCTAAGCGCAGATTCGCATAAATCGTTTCGGCCACTAACAACGCTCATGTTCCACTACGAATACGCTTTGCTTGGCCTGAATGCCGCCCATATGAAATTTCTCAATCTCTTGCTGCACTGCGTCAATACGTTACTCATGTGGCGCCTTGTACGGTCGCTGTATGTGGAAGATATAGACATTGAACGTTGGGCGACGATATCAGCGGCACTATTTGCCGCCCATCCGGTGCACACGGAAGCCGTATCTGGAGTAGTGGGCAGAGCGGAGCTAATGTTTGGGTTAATACACCTCCTTTGCCTGCTCCTAACAGTGGCTAGTGCAGACAAGCAAGGCGTGAGCAGTGTTAGTCTCATTCTATTGCTTACAGCAGTTGGCATGCTGTTCAAGGAGTCCGCCGTAACCATACCGTTATCCTGCATTATGTTGGACTACTTCCAGAACGGAACCTACATGTTGCCGCTGAAGCTACAGCAGCGGGTGATCACCACACGCCTACGCTACCTGTGCTATCTGTGCGGCATGCTCTCCCTACTGATTTTGCGTCTCTGGTGGCAAAACTTTGAAGCGCCGGAATTCAAACCCGTGGACAATCCAATTGCACACAATGAGCAGCTGCTCACGCGTGGTCTATCGCAACAGTACCTGTATGTGGTGAACTTCTGGCTGATGCTGTGCCCGCAATGGCTATGCTTCGACTGGGCGCTGGGCTGCATCAACCTGGTGACCAGCATTTGGGATATGCGTCTGCAGGCAGTCATTGCCTTCTATTCCTTCATAATTGTCTCCGTGATGAACTTTCGACGACTCGCAGGCCTTATGCTCGGCTTGGCCTTGATGGTGATTCCATTTCTGCCCGCTTCCGGAATTATACGTGTGGGATTTGTTATTGCGGAACGCACATTGTATGTGCCATCGATTGGCTTCTGCTTGGTGTCCGTCTATGGCTTCCTCTACTGCTATCAAAACTATGCGGGCAACATTTATTGCCGTGCGGCTCTGCAGGCGCTGCTCATGCTGCTCTTTGCAGTGTTCATGATACGCACGCGCCAGCGTGCTGCCGAATGGCTAAATGAGGAGCAGTTGTTCAACTCGGCGCTGCAGGTGTGCCCGAACAATGCCAAGGTACACTATAACATAGCACGGCTGGCCACGGACAATGGCAACAGCAGCCGAGCATTTCAGCACTATTTGAAGGCTGTTCAACTGTATCCGGAGTACGAGTCGGCGCTGATGAATCTGGGCAATCTGTATCGCGAGTATGGACAACTGCAGACGGCTGAGAAGTATATTCGCGCTGCATTGGCTGCCTATCCCGCTTTTCCCGTAGCGTGGATGAATCTGGGCATCGTGCAGTCGGCGCAGAAGAAATACGACCAGGCACTGGACAGCTATAGACAGGCCCTCAAGTATCGCTCCGATTATGCCGTCTGCTACTATAACATGGGCAATCTGTTTCTGGAGCAGCATCAATACGGCGAGGCGCTGCATCATTGGCAGCATGCCGTAGCCGTCAATCCGCGACAGCCCAAAGCTTGGGCTAATATTCTAACCATGCTAGATAATCGCGGCATGTACGAGGATGCTCTACGAATTTCCAGTCAGGCTCTAACCCAACTGCCCAATGAACCGAGCATTATGTTTATACGGGCGAATGTGCTCGGTAAACTGAAGCATTACATGGAAGCGGAGACACTATATAAGCAGGTCCTTGACCTGGAGCCACAGAATATGCTGTATCACACGAATCTCGGTGTGCTCTACCATCGCTGGGACAAATTGGACGAAGCCATCGAATGCTATCAGACTGCCATTAGCATTAATTCCTTGCGAGCGACGACGGCGCGAGATAATCTGGGCAAGCTCTTGAAGCGCTTGAACCGCGAATCTTATAAGGAACCACAGCAATAAGGATCCTTCCAAAAGGGAACCCTACTCTAAGTTAAAGACATCTGGTCATAGTTGTAAGTTTCATCCAGCTTCGTAACAATCCAATATTTAAAAATAAGTGTAAGAAATGATTTCGAAAAGTTTAAGAACTGATTGCGTGACTTTTTATAGATATTTAAAAGATTTTCTTAGTTGAGAGTAAAACGTTTACGAATGAACCACAAAAAGGAACACTCATATCAATTGCTCTGTTGTATATATCCCACATTAAGTAAACAGTTCTTATTTACACTGCCAGTAAAACGTTTATAAATCAACCACAAAGAAGAATTGTAATCTGAATTGTTTCCATATTCTCAGTCATTTTTTTATCAACGAATGTGTCACAAAGCAGAAATTTAAAATTAAATAGTCCATCAATGGCGTAAACCCCCAAATAGATCGGTAATATGTTTATAATGAAATAGTCATTCTTGTGTTTCTATGCGCTTGAATGATATCACGCTGTCTGCCTTATCAATATTTGTGGTTGCCTATGACAAGTCATCCATATCATATCTTCTAACTAACACCGATCTCTGTCAACTTGAATGTTCCACTCTAACTTTTTGAAATTATATTAGATTTATATATTTATATTAAATATTAAGACGTATTTACGCATTTACTATTAGATTGATTTATTTATTTGCAAGGGTATTTACACTTAATGTTTACAACTAAATAATGAACGAACAACTAGGAGACAAAACATAATTTAATTACAATCTAAGAAATGGGCCTACAAATAAAATACTTTCGAGAGCAGCGAAACAGTTGTTGCACCGTTGATTAATTACGATTCAATTCCATACAGTATTCGCATTACAAAATAATAATACCGAGAATTACATAAACTATTTATACATATATAGGGAAATAAAAAATATATATATAGGCATCATGATACACACAATCAGAGCGAAGCACAAAACTTGTTGAGGATACAAAAATGAAATCAATTTGAACAAATGTTGCAAATTGAAAACTAATCACAATTTATAAAATATAATAGGTAAATATGCAATTTATATATGTACATATATATATATGTATATATATATATATATATATATATATATATATATGTGGGTGTGTCTGTAAAATAACAAAGTCTTTGATGTTGAGATGCACGTCGGGTTTTCCTTAGTTTTGGGCGAGCTGGCGAGTGAGCGAGCAACGGCGAGACGACCTACCTAACAATAAGCGCAAAATTATAATAGATAATCATAATCATAATCATAATCATAATAATAAAAAAGAAATGAAAACAATATAACACAGTTCACACAGTTAATAAGGCTGCGCATCAGGGTACGGGGAAGAAATAGAGAGGGCATTCTAGACTTATTTCTATATGCATATAATATATGTGTATCAAAGGACTGGCTTAAAGCAGCACAAACTCCTCGCTTTCACTATCATCCGGATCATGTTCGTAGCTATGCAGCTGTTGTGGGGCAGTACCTTCCAGTTCTTGGGTTAAAGCGGCCACTTGCCTTATGAGCGGCTTGTAGAGCGAATCGCTCATCTCATCGCGCGCATGATCCAGGCAGCGACCACGCGAGAACGTGAACAGCGGATAATTCATTTCGGGCAGCTCGGCTTGCGGCGGATGCTGGGATTGAGATTGGAATTGGGATGTTGGTGCCGTTGATTTGTCCTGGGTAACGCCAGAGGCGCAACGCATGGGATGCAAATACTGAAAAATATATGAAAGAATAAATATTGACTCCTAGCTAGTGACTATTCTACTCACCAATTGCACACTCTCCACAAAGCTATCGAAATCCGTTTTGGTAGCACAATAGAAACCAATACAACAGCTCGGATCCATCTTGCTGGATTTCAATTTTCTTGGCGATTTACAGTGAAACGAATGCATGGGGAAGGACTCTTGATTAACGTCCACCATTTCCTGGCAGTAATGCGGATCCAGATGTATCAATTTGTCCTCCTGGAAGCCCACAAAGTACAGCGAATGTTTGGGCTTACCACCAATAATGCCCAGGCAGTACTCTGTGCTGAGCAAGAGCTTCAGGCAGTGCGCATAAACGGGATTCAGTTTGTCAGTGCCCAGCCGTAGCGGTATTAAGACAATCAAAGATTTCCAATGCTGGTCAGCCTTGGGTGCATCGCTGGTCGAGCGTTTAGCTTGCTGCCAAGGCACGTGTGGCTTGGGAGCCGGCTCAGGTATGCTGCACTGTTCCTCAATGTCTTGCATGTAAACTGTAAAGGCAGCAATTAATAAAGCGTACAAAGTGCGTGGACTATATCTTACTGGTGCAATCCTTAGCCACGTATACACTTATATTGTCAAAGTCGGCATTTTCTCGAGCGGCATGCTCTAAGGCGTGTCTATGTTTAATAAGTGGAACAGAGGATTAATGAGATTTTGCTGAGATATTGCTGCAATTTGAGCTTGGCACTTACTTTAGTAAATAGGAGACCGAGGCGGGACCATACCAATCGCCTGGCTTCTTGCCCAGCTGCTCGCCGAGACGCACCAGGGCATGTATGGAAAAGGGACTGCTCTTTGAGGAGCTGTCATTGAACCACTTAATGATCTTCTTATGCATATTATCCTCGTATGTGGAATGCAGCTGTGATTCTGCATCGTAGCGCCAGCCTGTCACAAGACAAAGAACATTATAGCAGTGTTTACTGTAGCAGCCGACTCCTACTTACTGCGACCCAAAAAATGACAGATGAGACCCTGAGCCAACAGCATTTGGCCGCTTCGCAGCATACAGCCCCATCCACAATCCGAGGTGTAGTTGGAGCCATTCATAATGGGAAATTCGCGGCGATAGGTCATCCAGATGCGGCTGTAGAAATCACGACGAAAACCCTCAATGCCCTCCTCCCACGGACTTTCGGTCATTTGATTCTCGGCCGCATCCATGCCCAGCTCTTGGGGCACAACAATCTCATCGATTTGCAGCGGATTGATGGAGGGATAAATGGAGGACGACGCAGTTGTTGTTGTTGCTTGCATGCTATCAAACGCCGATGTGGCATTATCCGGCGTGGTATCAGGACCACTGGTAAGCTCTGTGGTGGAGTTCTCCATGCTGACAGGCGGCGTGTAACGTCTATGATAGCAACGTCCAAGTAACCAAACAGGCTGCTCCTTGGAGAAGCTTGTCTGTCGCATTTTGCCCGTCCAGCCATACTTGACATTGTGCCACATGGCCACCAGTTTGGACTCCATGCCCTTGGTCGGTGTACGATTGGCCGCCAAATCCGGATCATCGTTATGCAGTTCCACGTGACCAGCGCTGTGGAGGTTGCTATTACCGTTATTGTTGCTGTTGATGTTGCTATTGCTGCTATTGCCGCTATAAAGCTGAGTAAACGCATTCATGAAACGTGATGACGTCGAAATTTTGCGCTGTGGTGTCGCTGTCGCAGCATTTTCGAATTTCGGGTTGACGTTTGCACTTGTTGCAGGTGTCGTTGCTGACGCAGCAGTCGTTCCCGCAACCAGTGCTGCATGGTGTATTGTTTGTATGGGCGCTGCTTGCTCCTCCTCGATGGCGCCATCCTGGATATTGCTCTCGACAAGAGAGGCGGCGGTGGCAGTGGCACCACTACCAACTTGGCCACTGCTATCGTAGATTACCAGCTTGTCATCGGTCAACTGAGAGAGCAGTGCATCATAGTTCATCTGTTTAGATTTGGAAACGGATGAGCGACGGCGCTTTGTACGTATTTTCGATAACTTAAAAAACAATGGCATCGCACAGACAATTCAATGTGAGCCACTCGCTGGCTCTTATACCACTGAATCATAAGCATTCTGCTGCCTTGTGGTGCTGATTACCGATATTTACTCACCGTTTATTTGTTTAAATATGAGAATGATAAAGTTAAGCTTTAGTTTTCTGCGTGCTAGTACCCGTATTCATAGGTTTATACGCACGCCAAACACGATAAGCACTTGTTTACGTTTATATTGTGCATACGAAATCACAATCAATAAAAATATTCGCTGATTACGTTTTATCAGCTCTCGATTTTAGTGATTGTTTTGTTATAACTTAAAGTTTTAGCAAGCAGAAACATATGCTTAAATACCATTTCAATAATTATTTAACAACGTATAATTTTGATATACTTCTGATTCTTTTCCAATATTGATAAGTTTTTCAAAATTTGTATATAATACATTAAATATATTAAAATAAACAATATGTCCTCTAATATTTTCTCATATTTACATACACAAACAATTTTTTACTTGCACAAAACAAACATTACGTTAACAATTACATCAATTACAATCATGGCATAAACGTTTTATATGCGCTTTGCATTGTTCCGTTTAGCTACAGAGTTGCCACCCACAATTAATTGTTGCAACTCTATTTTTTATTACCATTCTATTTAATGCTGCAACTAGTATAAATACAGCGCAATTGTAATTATTCTGCGGTTGGATAACTACGGATCACAATTCGCTTTAAATTGAATTAAAAGACGCAAAAATTCACAGCAATTGTTCTAAACGTTTATCGCTACGTACGGCAACACTGCAAGAATTGACTGTTTGTTATTGCGCAACTCGCTGTGCGGAGGGGCAAAAGAAAAATAAAAAAGTTCTAGTTTCAAAATGGTAAATAATGCAAATGAACACATAATAAAATTTCTAATTCGATTCTGACTAAAATGCGCCACAGCAAAATCCAATTCAAAGGTTAGCCTACACTCTTGGTCATCGTACCTACGCCCAATTGCCATTGCTCTGCGCTGCCGGTGCGAGAATAACAGACATAACAACAATTAACATGCCGATGGCAAATTCCACGCGCCTCTCCTCATCCTCCGTGCTGGCCACGGAGTCATCTAACAAGGGCATGATCATTATAAACAGGCCCAAAGCCCTAAATGCCATCAATTTGGAGATGGTGCGCAAGATTTACAAACATTTGAAAAAATGTGAAAAATCCAAATCCTTGATGATTATCAAGGGCACCGGGGAGAAGGCATTCTGTGCGGGCGGTGATGTGCGTGCCTTGGTGGATGCAGGTCCAACGGACGAATCGAAGAGCTTCTTCCGTGAAGAGTATACAACGAATGCGCTGATTGGCAACTACAAGATACCCTACATTGCCATCATCGATGGCATTACAATGGGCGGTGGAGTGGGTCTTAGTGTCCATGGTAAATATCGTGTAGCCACCGATCGTACGCTTTTTGCTATGCCCGAGACGGCCATTGGCCTGTTTCCGGACGTGGGAGGCTCATACTTTCTGCCACGCCTGCAAGGCAAACTGGGCATCTACTTGGGCTTGACGGGCCATCGGTTACGTGGCGGCGATGTCTACCATGCCGGCATTGCCACGCACTACTGCGAAAGCAGCAAAATTCCTGAATTGGAAACAGCGCTGCTCAACTGTCCGGATGCCGATGATGTGCCTGACATACTGGAAAAGTTCCAATCACAGCCAGAGAAGCCATTCTCATTGGCGCCCGTACTGGAGCAGATCAACAAGCACTTCTCGGCCAGCTCCGTAGAGGGCATACTCGAGAGTTTGCAGACCGATGACAGTGATTGGGCTAAGAAACAGTTGGAGGTCAGTGTTTAGCACATAAATAGGTGATAAGAGTCGTCCGATCCAACGCTAATTGACGTATGTTACGCATAAATATTTAAACAGTATTATGTAATACATAGGCGAGTGTGGCTTGATATATATAGAAAGAAATATTCAATTAGCACCTCGTGGCTGATGCCACGTTTTTGCATATAAATTAACGAGTGCTGCTAAAAGCCCATTTAATTAATTTATTTATAGATCCTTTGCAAAGTATCTCCCACGTCGCTGAAGGTAACATTCCGTCAGCTGGAGCTTGGATCACAACTGTCGCTGGCCCAATGCTTGATCATGGAGTATCGTCTGGCTGTGCGTCACTTGGAGCCACGCGCTGACTTTAAGGAGGGTGTGCGTGCTCTGCTCATCGACAAGGATCAGAAGCCCAAATGGCAGCCATCTACGCTGGCCGAGGTCACCGAGGACCACTTGCAATGGTTCTTCAAAAAGTTGCCCGACACCGAGGAGCTCAAACTGTAATTAAGCTGTTGCTGCTTGCTTAATCTTTACTAGCACGCAATTTCTGCTTGAGTTATCCCAATGTCTTCCTCTGTTCATTCTGCCCTGCATTCTACAATTGCTAATGCATAAACAATTTCAATTTATTATACAGTTGAGCATGCATTTTATATAGACCTGCATGATAAATCTTTGATAGATGTGTAATCTCTTTTATCTCTACTCCAAACAGCGACTAAATCAAGGCCAACAGACAGATATACGTGAAATTTGATGCATTTATATACGATACACATATAACATATATATATATATATATATATATATATATATATATATATATATATATATATATATATATATATATATATATATATATATTTATATACAATTTTATAAATATATATTACAAATATTGTGCCTAAAGAAACATTAGCATTCGGTTAACATTAAATAAATTGAAGAATGTATATATTTTCAAAGACGATTTTGTTTGATTTATCTGGGCTTTATGCTCTCCTCCACCATGTTTGAGAGTTCCAGCAGTTTGTCTATTTGTTTGGGTGTAAAGTTTAACTTGTTCAGTTCCAGAGTCCATGCGGCCACGTCAACGCGCAGCTGCAGGCGTATCTTATCGTCATCTGATACACCAGTGGATGTGCTTACACTGCCTTGTGGATGAGATGCACCGCCGCTCTTCAGATTGCGCAGACGACGTAAAGATTCTTCGGTTTTCTGCACAGATGTCAGCACCTCACTAACCACATTAAAGTAGCTGCCGGTTAAGAGAAATACAAATATAATAGCCACACAATCGAGAGTCGTTTCCTTAACTTACGCCTTGGTTATATTGCTGGCAACCTCGGCCAGTATCTGCTCCACCACCAGCGCGCCCAGCTGGTTCTCGTTTTGGGAGGCAAATGCTTTGAGTGGTCGCAGCATTTGCTCCACGTAACTTGAACAACGCGTCGGCACCTCACGATTGGTCTTGCGATACAAACGTGGCAGATCGTTGACTTGCCGCACATTATCTGCTCCGCATTCCGTGATTAGCAGCTGCTTTAATGTGTCCTGTATATTGGCCAAATGCAGGCTTAGTGTATCAGCTAAGTCGGCTATGGATTTACTCAAAACATTGGTGAACAATGTAATATTCTTGGCTTTGGGTGCCGATTCTACGATGAGTTGCTGCAGCTGCGGCAAATACGATTCCAGTTTGCGCGTGTCCGAATACAAAGCAATTAGTAATTGATTTCGAGTGTACGGCTTCGAATAGCTTGTGCTCTTGGCATCCTTGATGACATCTCGGATCCAGCGCGACAAGCGTAAAACGATTTGAACATTGAGTTTGTAGAATTTGGCAAACACTTCCGGCAAATAAACACCCTCGGACCAGCAGCGGGTCAAAGCCTGTTTGGCACCATTGAAGGGCGCTAAATGATAGGCATCCAACTCCGGCTGAGCTTGCAGCGAATCATCGTTTAGCAGGGGCTCCAGTTGTGCCTCGAATTTTCCCGCGATTTCCTGCAATTTAGAGGACACCATTTAAATATCACTCTCGGTAAATTATAAAATACATAACATACCTGAAAGCATATTTGGAAGTAGACAGGCAGATTCCAACGCGCCTCGAAGCTTTTGGTTTGATTGTGATGGCGAAAGGAAGCGACTACCTTTTCACCACTGCTCGTCAGCAACTCCTCAATTTTGGATAGAAAATCACGTGTGCATTTGTATTTCACATAGAACACCTCCGAATTGCCTGGTGCAAATATTGAATTCATATGCAGCTCCAGACGCATCTCAACATCGGACCAAAAGCTATTGACCACAAAGTTGAAGCCGTTTAGCTTATCCGAGTAGAGCGTTAGACGCAACAAATCCGCCATATGCAGCGATATAAAATTTAATACTTTGCTGTAAATCCCAGCCAATCCCTGTGGCGAATTTTGCAGTTGCTGCTCGCCAATGATGGCACTCATATAGGGTGCAACAATATCTTCACGAAAAGCGCGCTCCGCTCGGTCACAGGCATCGAGTGTGATGTATATGCGTAGACAGCGCTCCAAGTGCTCGGATGCACCGTTCTTTGCCTGCTGCAATGATGTGTATAGGAAACGACGTAATTCCTGATGCACTTGCTCCTCCAGTTGCTGAATTGTGGCTCTGTGTAGATTTCCAAGCTGCATATCGCAGTGTTTCTCATGAAATCTCAACTGTATCAAATCAAGTGCGGCCCGCTCCAAGTCAACAGCTTGGCCAGGTTCCTCGCCGCTCAGCTTGTTCCCAATCAGCTCCTGCAACTTGTCCATGATCTCGTATACTTTTTTAAGGCTTTGCAAACTGCGTTGATATTCACGCAATTGCCGCTTTTCCTCGAGCTGACCGCGCAGCTCAAGCACATTCTCTTCGATTAGGCTATGTATGCCTTCGATTTCTGTACGAAACTGCTCCAACGGACGTTGTATGGTATCGATGGTTTGGTCCAGACCAACTAGGTTGGCGCTTAAATTGACAAAATCCGCGTAGTCCTCATTGATAAGATCGATCATGGCAGCGCGTAGGCCTTTTAGGTAGAGGCCCAAGTTATCGCGCAACTGCTCCAGGCTAGGCGCGTTCCGATTCTTGTGTAGAAACTCATCCACGGAGAAGTTTTCCTATTAAACACAACGTACTTAAGATGCCATTTTTAACGAATGTTTTAAATACCAACCTTCATGAACTCATTTTTATCAAAGCAAAGCTTTTCAGCAGTGCTAGTGCCACCGGCCACCGATGGCCTTCTTGCCGGCTCATGCATTGTCGATTCAAGCTTTTATTATAAAATTAAAACAATTTTAAAAACAATTGCCACGAACTAAAAGCAGCAGCTGACTGCTACATCTGGCTTGTCAATCGATAGGCAAGTTTCGATAAATATGTGGTGCTGCCACTTATCATAAAAATGGACTAAAAGTGAGCTGCTTATGAGGATACAGAATAAACATGCCAAGTGGCAACTACCATTAATGACAAACAGGTGGCAACGCTATATTGCATATAGACGTATCATTCGCCGGCTTTATTTACAAATAAACAAATTACAAGTATGCCGAAAAATACAGGTTATCGCAACAATAATAATGCGGCGCGAAAACGTCAGCCCCAACTGGATGAACAGAATCCCGTTGTGCAAGCGTTTCGCAACTATGCCAGTGAATTGGACGCCAAACACGATCGCCATGAGCGGATTCTTAAACTAAGCCGTGACATTACAATCGAATCGAAGCGCATTATATTTTTCTTGCATTCCATTGATGCGCGCAAGCAGAACAAGGCCAAAGTGCTCGAAGAAGCTCAACAACGTTTGACCAAGCTTATCGACGTAAATTTCCGTGCTATTGCTTTGGAGCTGCGCAATCAGGATGTTTTTCAATTTCGTGCCGCATACTCGCCTGGCCTGCAGGAGTTCATTGAGGCGTATACCTATATGGAATATTTGTGCAACGAGGAGAGCGGTGAGAACTCGAAGTCAATATCAGACTGGTCAGCTTTGCAGTCGATCATGCAATATGAAGTCGAAGCTGAGAAAGAGAAACCCGTACCAGACGTGGGAGACTCGCCCACAGACGGTGAACAGACAGCTGGCAATACTGTAGAAAAATTCCAGTTTTACGTCGATCCTACTGAGTACGTTTTGGGTGTTTCGGATTTGACGGGCGAACTGATGCGTCGTTGCATCAACTCCCTGGGCAGCGGGGACACAGACACCTGCATGGAGACCTGCAAAGCACTGCAGCAGTTTTACACAGGGTGCGTCAACCACAGGGTGCATGTTATGGAAACTGTGAATAACGCAAATTAATGTCTGTTTTCTTATATATCGCAGGTATATCAGTTTGAATTGTCAGCGTGCCCGTGAATTGTGGCGCAAAATAACGACAATGCGGCAGAGCATGCTGAAGGCCGAAAATGTTTGCTACAATGTGAAGGTGCGCGGCGGCGAGGCAGCTAAATGCGCTAGTTTTGATCAAAAGCCAGCAGACGATGCCGATGAAGGCTTCTTTTAAAATAGCATATTCAAAACATTCAAAGTTCATGAGCAAAATGTATGTTATTATTCATTTTAAAATATATAACAGAAAAACACGTAAATTGCTATAATTGTATGCAAGTTGGAAATTTATTAGGTGCGGCAAATGTTTAAATTTCATTTACGTTAGCGATTTTGCTATCATCTCTAAACTTCATCGATTGCTGCTTATAATTGTTATTTAATTCAGTGGGAAATATGTTCGATTGTTAACTAATTTCGTTTTTTTTTTTATTTTATAAAACATTTTATGAAATTATGTCATCTTATGCCATCTTTCGGGCAAGAGATTTATTCCAAGCTCATAAAATTTTTTATCTTTGCTGGCAAAAAACTGGTTCAAGTGGTTGTTTACGTCCTGATTTGAGGTGAAGGTTGTACCATCCAAAAAATTCTGCAGAGACCGGAACAAGTAATATTCCGAAGGTGCCAAGTCTGGAGAATATGTTGGGTGTGGTAGCACATCCCATTCAAGCTGCAATAGCTTTTGGGAGTTATCAAACTTGTATGGGATCTCGCATTATCCTGGTGGAACACTACATCTTTTCTATTGACTACTTCTGGTCTCTTTTCTTTGAGTGCATCACTTAGTTTGTCTAGTTGATTGCAATAAATTTCAGAATTAATTGTTGTGTTGTCCGGCAAAAGCTGAAAATAAACAATCCCCTTGAAATCCCTACAAACGGACAACATAATCTTTTTGATGTGGTTTGAGCTGGTTCATCCTTTTTAGACCATGATCTCTTGCGCTTTACATTGTTGTAAACAACCTATCGCATAATTTTTGCCTTGCTTTAACTGCATTTTTGGCCTTTCGGTAGTAAAACAGTAAAATATGCCGAAAATGTTGTTTTTGATCTTCCATCTTCAATAGGGCACCAAATGAAAACTATTTCACAAAATCCAACAAAATTTTTTACAAATAAGCTTTACTATATCAGCTGTTGAAATTTATAACGGCAAAGCGGTTAAGCGGGAAGTTCAATAAGATCAGCTGATGGCATAAAACGAAATTACTTAGTGAGCGATTCAATAGTTACTATCTATAAATTGCAATCGATTACTTGATCAACACTATATTCAACGCTTTCAATCTGCTAATTTTTGTCGGGCAACGAAATCAAAAATGTATGCATATTTATCGAAACTGAGAACATGTGATTTTCGATATTTTATAGCATCCCTAGTCAGCTGTTCAGTTGGTTTCCAATCAAAAATTTCGCAAATCAAAATTATTAATTTTAACATTTCTACATTTAGGTCCATTTGTTTATCAGTAATAAACACAACAGTGTAACGAACAAGCAAGATGTCGATGCTGGCTAAAACCGTAGGACGCACTTTCTTTCAGGTAATCGTCAAAGAGAGGTTGCCAAGTGCTTACATAAACACTTGCCAAGTTCTTTGCAGCAGCCGCTGCCGTCGCACTTGGAGCCAATACCAGTGCTGATGCCATTTTTTTTTGAGGTTAACATCCTCGAAGGCAAAACTTAATTACTAACTATTATTATTTACTTATATTATAGGCAGCCGCAGTGCGCGCATTGCATGTGTCAGCAGCGGTCAATGGTGCGGTGGGTATTTAAATGGAATTGCCTTTTGGAAATTTGTATAATGATTACGATGTTTATAGGAGTGCTATAATGCAAATAGAACCACTTGCACTTTAGTGCCTGGTGATGGTGTCGGACCCGAATTGGTCTATTCACTGCAAGAGGTTTTCAAGGTAAGAGACCCTAGTAGGAAATGCCATATTAGCTAATTGTAAAAATAACATCTTATTACGTACAGGCAGCAAATGTTCCCGTTGACTTTGAAGCGTTCTTTTTATCGGAAATCAATCCTGTACTAAGCGCCAAACTTGAAGATGTTGTCGCCTCCATTCGGAAAAACAAAGTTTGCATTAAGGTCAGTTACGTGCTGCTTCATACAGATTGATTCTAATCTCTTACAATTGAATAATATATAGGGTATTTTGGCTACACCCGATTACAGCAATGAGGGTGAACTGCAGACACTTAACATGAAGCTCCGCACAGAGCTTGATTTGTATGCCAACGTGGTGCATGTTCGCAGCTTGCCAGGCGTCAAGACACGCCATGACAACATCGATACGGTCATCATCCGTGAACAGACGGAGGGTGAGTATTCTGCCCTGGAACATGAGTCGGTACCCGGCATTGTGGAGTGCTTGAAAATTGTAACCGCTAAGAAATCGATGCGTATTGCCAAGTTTGCCTTCGATTATGCCACCAAGAATAACCGCAAGAAGGTCACAGCTGTGCACAAGGCCAACATTATGAAGCTTGGGGATGGCCTGTTCCTGAAGTCATGCGAGGAGGTCTCGAAACTTTATCCACGTATCGAACTCGATAAAATGATTGTGGACAATACAACCATGCAAATGGTATCCAATCCCAATCAGTTCGATGTGATGGTCACTCCGAATCTGTATGGTGCCATTGTAGACAATTTGGCCTCTGGCCTGGTCGGCGGCGCTGGTGTCGTTGCTGGTGCTTCATACTCCGCCGATGCGGTGGTCTTCGAGCCGGTAAGAAAAGACTTAGCACACAAATTGTTAAGACAGCATCTCAATACTATTTTCCATTTCTTTTACAGGGTGCACGCCATATCTTTGCTCAGGCCGTGGGCAAGAATGTTGCGAACCCAACGGCAATGTTAATGTGCGGCACAAAAATGTTGCGTCACATCAATTTGCCAACTTACAGCGAAGTTATACAGAATGCCATTAACCAAGTGCTTAAGGACGGCAAGGTACGCACCAAAGACTTGGGTGGACAGTCTACTACACAGGACTTTACCCGCGCCATTATTGCCAATCTGCACTAGATCGTTCACGACCCGAATTCAGCTCGTCAACTGGCCGCAACATTTGGCTGTGGCTGCCCCCAGGATTATATGCATGCATAGATACCAAACTTTTCAGTTATTAGCCAAGTTATTGAAATGTTAAACATTATTTCTGATATTTGGTTGATTTTCAGTATGATTTTACCCTCTCTCCCTCCACATTTAAATTCTTTGAGTATTATTTCTGGCGAATATTTATGTTTAGAACAATTACCTCGCCCCCTACCCCTTTCACCCGTATTCATTTACCCGACGATTTTTAGTTTTACAAATTGGCCGTATTGTTTTATTTTGTGATTATTAGAAAAACAATCCAAATTGGATTCGAATGTTTTCAACCAGCATTAATATTATGACAAGCAAAAACAAAAATTAAAATTATTTTATTAAAAACTAAATCGATGTGGAGCGAAAGCCACGATGCAGAAAATAAAACCAAATCAATCCAAATTGTCTTCAATTATTGCTACGTCTAAATTATATATAAATCTATATATTCCTGAATGGTAATGGAAAAGCTTGATTTACGGAAAATATTCTACATATTACAGTTTATTACAAAAACCACGGAAACCCAAACGAAAATTCCAAAATGTGCTGAAAGTGTCTGAAAAATTTTAGTGCTATGATCCCTTGGGCTTGGCCAATTCTATAAGTCGCGGTGAGGCCTTCGCTTTTAGTGCCGCAGGCGAGATGGCAAAAGGATTCTCTCTGATATGCGTGTTCTCGAACTCCTTTGGCTCCGCCAGCTCCTTCATGCGTGATGATATCTTGTATTTTAAGGCGTTTGGTGAAATAGAAAACGGATCGTCCTTGAGATCGGCCGGACCCAAATTGGCTTCGTGCTTAGCCAGCGGTTGTGACATCTCCTTAATGCGATCGCTCGCTGAATTTGACATCAGACATAGTTATATATATATATATACATATTGAATATGTGAACTTACGTTTGTATTTGAGTGCATTGGGTGAGACCTTCTCGGGATTTTCATTGGTGTGCACATTGGGTCGATTTACCGGTTCAGCTAAATTCTTAACACGATCCGTTGCTTTGTAGTCGCGCATGCTAGGTGTGAATTCCCATTCAGCCTTGATGTCCTCCATATATAACTTGGGGCGCGCCAGTTTCTTAAGACGCCGCTGATCTACTTGACCCTTCTTCCGATCCTGCAAGGCAAATATTAGAGAGTTGTCTAAGGGGTTGTATCTAATATGTGGATTGAAATCGATCACTGATCAAAGAGCTATAACTTTTGGCTTGATCTGTAGCAAATGGGTAGGACCGACTATATTTTTAAACAGTTTTTAAAGTTGGATCTTCAAATTTTGCTGTTGCTTCAGCAGAAGAGCATTATCTCTATAAATTCAGACTGAGTTACATACATGTATATAGGATAGAATCAGAAAAAGCTATATGCTCTATAGTCCAAGAGCACTGCTCATCTACACAAATCTGCCTTAAGCTATAACCATTTGAGAATTATATGACTACAACTCTACAAGGAGATGCAATAGGTATAAGAATACATTCAAGGACATTATTTTATATATATCTGATAGTTGATAGCTGATATTTGATATCTGATATTTGATATCTGATATATGCTTATCTCTCCGACTGACCGGTGGTGGTGGGGTTATCTCCTTTATTGGCTTAGCCAGTTTTTTGATATGCAACTCGCGCAATTTCATTTGCTTCTCCGTCAACTTTTTCTTTTTCACGCTATTTTCAATATGAGGTAAAATTATTAATTGAATTAGATTTTGCTAATGTGCGATGTAAATTTGAGTTGCTCACGGTTTCTCCAACGGCTGTACGTTGCTCAATCGACTGTACAATGATAAGTAACTGTAGCGTAACAAGCGATTAATGATGCCCTCGCCAATCAGATCACCGTTCGCTTTAGCGTCGGCTCGTCGATGCAGCAAGCGCCTGACCGGCGGCAGTGCCAGTTGATCGGTGCGTGTATGCATGGGCATTTCGGCCGGTACGATTTCGATAGTCTTCTTGAATGGACAGGGACATTTAGGCAGGTGACGACATTGGGGTTGCCTAGGTACCGCCAGCTCCATAATACGTTTGCGTTTTGTAAACCGGCGTTCGTGACGATCGTACAGTTTGTTCAGCTCTTTACTTATGTCCTTAAGGAAACATTCCGCGTCGTAAGGTATGCGTTCGATGATGGGACAACAATCGGGACGGACATTTTCCTTAAGTTTTAGGCAGGTCGTTAGCTCAGGACTGAGATCACATTTTAAACGTTTTGAGGCCATATTTTCTGTTTTCTTTTTTTTTTCAATATTCTATTGCCTTACTTATTGTGTTATCCAAATGATTGTTTTTTATTTTTTTAAATTACGTTACAGAGAATTTAAGTTATCTGCTTAAGATTACGATGTGAAATTTAATGATTTCGCTAATTTACAAAGCCTACTACGAATCTGTTCCAAACTTCTCTCAAAGATAACATGAATTTATTAAACCGAAATTCTATTTGAACAAACCTGAGTACTTGAAAAAAGACAGAGTTTGAAATGATTTTTCGAGGTCTCCTATTTATTTATATTTATAAAATCGGAAATTTGAAATGCCTATGCGATAAATTGAAATCGAATACCGATTGAATACTTCATAGCTTCAATCTCTGCAAAAGCCAAAAGATATACAAAGTTTGCATTTCATAAGGTTTTTATTGGGAATATCTTGAGCCTGAAATTATTTAAAAACTGAAAAATTAATTTAAAAATATTGATTTTTCAGTTGAATTAGAAATTTTTAAACTGAAAAAAAAAGTTGTTTAATAATTTTTACAAACTCTAATTTTAATAATTTAGAAAATTTATTTGAAATTTTCAAGAACTCTGATTTATGGGTATGATCCCGAAATTGAATTGTTAGCTCAAAAGCTCCTCCAAAAATGTTCGAAAACTCTTGGATATTATTCTAAAATTTAAATTGTTAATTCGAAAAATGTTTCCAAAAATTATCAAAAGCTCAAAGAAATTGAACTTTTTTTTTAATATTTTCAAGAACTCTTATTTATGACTAAGATTCGAACATTTTCGAAAATTGTTAATTCAACAAAGTTGTTGAACAAATTTTGAAACTTGAATGGATATCCAAGTGTCCAAACATGCATATCTGTGGATATTTGCAAGGTGAATTAAAACAGCGTTTTCTTAATGTTTTATTAAATTTTTATTGCCAGTATTCTTCAAAATACTGAGAGCTCCATGTTCACATCATTACAAGTTAATAGTTTGTGTGTTTTGTTTTTGTTGTTGTTTTTGTTTTTCATTTGTAAGTATTGTTTGTCTTTAGTAGATTTTTGCCATTATATCTCCTTTGGTTGTACACATTCACATACATAAATCTAAATGTTGTTGTTTTACTTTGCAATTTCTATTAATTTTTACACGATGTTTTAGTTGTTAAACATTTGAATACCCATTCGAAAATTGATTTCGAGCTGCAAATATTGAACTTGGCATTGAAAACTGAAGAAACTTTTTCGTCTTGTAAATTAAATTCCATGATAATAGTTAATAATATTATAAATTTTTAGCAGACGTACACAAATATATATATATATATATATACATATATATATATATATATATTATATATATATACATATATATATATATATATATATATATATTATATATATATTATAAATTTAAATTTACCATTTACTAAGTTCACATAAATTTTGCTAATTTAATTGTTTAAATTTTTGTGTTTCTTTTACTTCTTTCTGTAATTTTTACCCACCTAGCATACATATTTTGATATATGATTTATTTACACCCAAAATAGTTATACCAAATCATAATTTTCTATGTAAATCAATATGTTTTTGTTTTTACGATTATTTAACATCCAAATTTGTAATTTTAATTTTCTTTACTTGCGTATCGTATACAAGATTTGCTTATACTTAAAATTTTCAATATTCCAAATATTTTCCACAGACATTTATTGATTTATATTTTTTTCATTTTTTTTTCCATTGTTTTTTTTTGTATATATTTATATGTTTATGTTACCAAAATTGTTTGTTTTTTTTTATACAGTTTTTTTTAAATAAATTTCATTCACATATATATTTTGATATATATTCGAAATGTTTGCCCAGATATTTCTTAAGTTTTTCATGCATACCATTTAGTGTTCCATCTGGATGAAGATATGCTTTAAATTTCATATTTTTGAATTTTGATGTACATTTGCTCAAAGATTTCTCGAGTTGTTAAATAAATCTTTTGTTCATGTTTTTTCTTTTTTTGGTCCCTGAAGCTGTTGAGTTTTGTTTAAAGATAGATTTTTATTTTCGTATGTTTTATTATTTCTTGTTAGTTTTGTCTTCGTAACCAGTTCTAGAATATTGAATATCCAAAAGTCGTCTTTTTTTGCGTGGGTTGAAATAACTCAAAACTGTTCGAAAACGTTCAGAAAAATTAATAACAATTAAAATAAATGAAATACGCTCAAATATGTTTTACTTGTATTCTTTGCCAATTGTCTTGCTGTTTTCTTGTCAATCTATTTTCGTTAAATGTGAAAATGGAGCAAATATTGAAGATGTTCCGGATATTGTTAAGCCCACATCAGAGTCAATATTTACTTTGGTCTATTGTTAAGTATATTTTGAATAAGTGTACTAGATAGATTACTATTGCATTTATTGTGTAATATATATAGATATATATATGTATATATATATATATATATATATATATATATATATATATAGCATAGAGCAAAAATTTTAAATAAAAGCCTCTGAGTTACTAAAAAGGAGAAATAAAAATAAGAAATTAAAAAATGGAAAAAAACTTCAGCTGTTTAACTAAAATATTTGTTTTTGTTTTTATTAATAAACAGTTTCAGCGTAAGTATATATGATATATATTTCTGTGAATATATCATGAAACATAATAAGTAAATAATAAAAATAACGAAAAATCATAAACTTAATTTTAATTATAAATTTATATATATATAACAATTATGCACGCTGAACAAATTTTTAAATTTAAATATTTAACTTAACTCAATTCTATTTAAGTTTTTGCTTTTTTTGTTTTTGCTTTTTTGTAATATTTAAATTATATTTATATGTGTTTCCTTTTTGTTTGTTTGACATTCAAGCAAATTGTTTACCATTATTAAATATATTTATATAACATTTTTTTCTGTTTTTGTTTCGCTGTAAAGAACTAAAAATTATAATGAAAAAGAGACAAAAATTACGGCTATGGAATTTAGTAGTCAAATTTGTTTTATGTTTTTAAGTTTTCTTTGCTTAAGTTGTTTATCTTTGCTATGTTGTTGTTGTTTTTGTTAATGCTAAATACATACATATATATTTTGTTTTTGTTTTTGTTTTATTTGTATCTGTATCTTATGGGCTATTGCTAATCATAATGCATTTTATATATTTAGTTACGCTTATTGGCTGTGAAACAATGTTCTTCTTCACCACAAAAAAAAAAGAATATTTTTTTCTTTGCTTCGCTAAATGCAAAAATAAAAGAATTTTGCTCAGTTTTGCTGTTGTTTTGCTATTTAAATGTTTTTTATTTATTTTTTTTTGTATTGTACTTGCATCAGTTTTGTTGTATTAAAAATAATCTGAATGTTTGCAGTTAAAAACGAGAAACTTTGATTGAAAAAAAAAAACATAGTCTGAGACATATTACGATGCAGTCATCTGTGTTTTTTTTTGTTTGCCAATAACTTAGAACTATTGCTGATTTATTTGTTGTTTATTTTTTATTTTCTTTCTTTTTATGGATTAATATGCTTAATATGTTCTGCTAGGGCTATTGTTGTTTTTTTTTTGTTTTGTTTTGTTTTGTTTTTAATTGTTATTCATATTTTACCGTATGTTGTAGTTGATAGTGGATAATTGAAATAAAAATTGTTTTTTTGTTTTTCATTTACTTTTGAGCGTGTTTTCGTTTCTCGTGCCATGTGGCGTATGCGCAATGGATATTGCGTATACGCCATGTGCAAACAGCTCAGCGCTCGCCTCGCATCATGTTCTGCTTCTTTTTTCTTATCTTGTTTTTGCTGTCCTGTCTATTGTATATATGATCGTTTAATTATGTGGCTATTGTATTGGTTATTGCTATTCAATGGAAAAAACTCTTTTGGAAAAGTCTCGCTCGCTCGCTCGCTGTTAGTAAATTGGTAATTGTGTGTCTGTGTGTGGTTTATAGTTAATTGCTTGTGGCTATGGCTATTTCTATTACTGTTGCTATTTTAGTTGTTGTAGTTAGAGTAGTACTATTGTTTAATTAAATTGTTTGCTTTATTTTGGTTTTGCTTGAAGAAAAAAGAAAAGTACAATCGACGTCAGGCTGTGTGTGTTTTGTTGTTGTTGTTGTTATTGTTGTCTTCTTCATTTGATTTGTTGACATATATATATATATATCTATATAGATTGTATATATATTTGTATACTCAATTTTTAGTTCAATTATTTTGGGCTATTGTTGTTGTTGTTGGTTGTTTGTCTTGGCTATTGTTTCTTCTGTTCTTTGCATTTGGTTTTTCTAACGCTCTTCTGGTTTTTTGGATTGGCACAACTTAAGTTTTGAATTTGAATGGTTTCTCGTTTTTAGTTATAGAAAACAAATATAATGCTTTTGTGATGTGTTGAGTAAACTGACTTTGACTTTGACTTTGTCTCACAAACTGTTATATATTCGCACTTAAAATGACTTTTGATTCTCAATTAATGTTTGCTTCTTGTTTAAATTAATATTTGTTGCTGTCTACATATACATATACTTCTTGGTATTGCAAAGAAATCTGTTAAATTATATCAGTTGTTATGCATATAAAATATATAATATATATATAGATATATTTATATTTGTTTTGTTTGAAACAATTGCACTATAAGTCAAATGTGTTTTGCCCGTTTGTAATATTAATTAAAAGAAAAATAGAAAGAAAAAAACAACAAATTGTTTGTTTGTTTCAAAAAGAGAATTGCTTACTAATTGTGTTCTAATATATATATACAAAACACACAAATCAAGGCTAAGCAACAGTTGGTTTGCATATATATATATATTTATCATAGTATTTAGTTAATAATAATAATAAAAATTTTGATTTGCCTATTTTTGTTGTTGTTGTTGTTGTTGCCATTAATAATATAATTAATAGAGTGTGTAGTAAATAACGTAAACACTATGTATATGCACTTATATTCAGCAAATTTTGATTCGCGTCGAACAAAATTATAAACAATATGCGAAATATGCTTGTAAAATGTAAAATAATAATTAAAATATACATAATCTATTCGTATAGATTTAAGACTCGTAATTATTAATAAGTATATCGATTTAGATTTCTTTTTTTTCTTCTTCTCGTTTTGCTTTTGCTTTTATACAATTATTAACTATGAATTTGTTGTAAACAAAGAATAAGTAATGTATGGGTAATCAATCTTTTTTCTCTCCGAAAAATAAAAACACGTACCTGAGCGTTTCTGCACGCCCAACCCACCTGGCCAAGAATCGTTTTTGGCTACTTCCGCTTACTGCTTTTCTTCCTTTAAGTTGTTGTTTTTTTTTGTTTGGGGGCAGGTTGGAAAATGCAAAAATTCTATACAATTCTCAACATTCTCAAGCTGTTATTCCTATTACACGCGACGAAAACCTTCTTAAGACCAAAGAAAGGTTTCATGGTTCAGTTACATACGGCTTGTTTCTTCTACTTCTTTTCACTATACTCCTATGCCCATTTACCTGTCTGTGTGTCTGTATATGCATGTATATGTGTGTGTATGTATGTGTTTCATTTACATATTTGTTTCTCAATTCTGGTTTCTCGCGCGCCTTGAAGCAGGCAGCAAAATGCATTTTGCTCGCACAGCTGTTCGCAAATCAGATTTGGTTTTTTTCTGTTTTTACAAATTTATTTAATTTTTGTTTTTGCTTCTTAATACATATAAACCGTATAATTGCACTTTATTTTTTATTTTTATTTTACTTGTTTTTTATATTTCTTTATCATTTAGTTTGATTTCATTTCTTTTTTCTAGCATTTGTTTTTATTTTTGTTTTTGTCTTAAACAAAATATTTAATTTTGTTTAAGTTTTTACTTTGTATAATTTTGTTTTATAAAATGTTTACACTGCATTTGGTTTTTATTGTTTCTTTTTTTTAAGACTGCATTTTCTGTTTAGTTTTGCGTAAAAAATTTTTCCAAAATATATGTACAACTATATATGCTCTGAACTGTTGTAAGATTTTTGTTTTTGCTTTTTAGTGATGTGCTGTAGTTGTTGCCTTTGCTATTGTTACTGTTATTTTGGCCTATATAGTTTATACTTTATATGCCAACTAAGAATTCGCTTTGATAGTTTTTGCTCTGTGCTTTGTGTAGTTGTTGTTGTTGTTGCTATTGCTATTGCTGTTGTTGTTGCCGTTGTTATTATTTGTATCCGATCGTTCAATTTGTTTATAGCTTGCTCTATATATGTGTCTGTATGTTTGTGTGTTTATTAATCTTTTTTATATTATTATTGTTATTATTATAATTATTTATGTTTTATGCATGTTTTGCCTAACCAACATTAGTCAGAAAAAGTTTCTTCAAAATTTTGGATTATTAATCACAGATAGTGTGTCTATATATATATACATATATGTGTATATATGTATATATATGTATGTATAATAAATATGTATGTATACTTCAAATATAATTAAATTAGCAATAAATACGATTTTTTTTGTTGTTTTTGATTTCTTGTTTGTTTTTAAACAATTTGTTGTGATGCAAATAATTTACTAAATTTTTCTTTCTTCATATTTAATTTTTTTTTAAATACACGAAATATTTTTTTTTTAATTTTCTTTTTTTGTCTGTTTGCCTCAATATAAATTTGGAATTATGTTTTCTTTTTTATTTTTTGTATTTTTTCTAGCCACAACATTTATGCACATTGAATTTATTTTTAAGGATTAGCCAATAAATATGCTTTAAATTAAAAATAATTTCTTGTTTTGTTTTAAATGCTTTGAAATGATTTCTTTTCATGTTTGTATATATATATATATATATATATATATATATATATACATATATATATATATATATATATATATATATATATATATATATATATATATATATATATATATATATTTATTTATTTTTTGTTTTTAGCTGAATAGAATTTTGATATTTTTTTGTTTAACTTTAAAAATACATGTGTATGTTGTATATATAATTTTTGTTGTTATTAATAAATGTTTGTTTTTTCTCTTTTGACACTTACTAGCTAGCACACAAAATATGTTTTTGTTTTTGTTTTTTTTTTTCGTTTAGGTACATATATATATATATTTATTTTTGAAATTTTCTTGCTTTTATTTACGCATACATTTAAGTAAAACCCATCTAGAATTTTCGAAACGTTGCTTAAATCAAGAGAGCTCTCCAAAGGGGGCGAGGGAGGGATAGGGCGTGTTTGACCAAAAAAGTTGTTACAGTTTGTCACTTCTTTTTTTTGCAGTGTAAATATGTTTTAGTAGACATTCCTCAAGTTTTTGTTTTTGCTTTCGTTTTTTGTATACTGTGTAAAGAGTGTGTAGAGTGTATAAGTACATTTAAATATATATAATATATATATATAGAGTTGCTCAAAATGATCTTGTGTGTTTCGTTTGAGGTATACGCGTAATGATCAAGACACACATACATAAATATACATATATATAGATATATAGTTAAATAGATTATTTCAAGAGTTTTGTTTTTATCGAATGTGAATTTGATTTTGTTTTTGTTTTTTTTATTTACTGCCTAAACATTTAGTTAAATTTATTATATTTTTTATGTATATATATTTAAACATCGAAACATCAAAATTTTGTTTTCATACATAATAATTTTGTTATCTATATATATATATATATGTATTTAATTTTGTTTTTGTTTCAGTTTTTTTTTTGTATTTGAAATAAAAATTATTTATTTTTTTTGATGGGCTGTCTTTTGTTGTTGCTGTTGTTGTTGGTGGTTTTTTTTGTGGTTGTGAATTTTGCATTTGCGTAAATTGCTTTCTCGTATTATTATTATTTTGTGTGCTTCCTCTTCTTCTTCTTATTTTTTAGCTAACATTTTCTCGTTCCTCTTATCAATTTATTTAATTTGTAAATGTGAAGGCAGCTTTGTTTATTGATTTCCGTTTGTTTTATATTTTCTTCTTCTTTTTGTAAGGGTTTTTTCTTTTTTCAAAATAAAAAATAAACATTAAAAATTAAACAAAATATGTTTTTAAAAAGAAATAAATTTTGTTTCTTGTTTTTGTAGTTTTTGAATTTTGCTTTTGCTATTTCGATTTTGTTGTTGTTGTTATTATTGTTGGCTATTAAGTTTGCTGTTGTTGTTGTTGTTATTGATCGGATATTGTTGTTTGCTTTGTTATTGTTGCTGTTGTTGTTGTTGTTGTTGCTGGTATTTGTAGTTATTGTTGTTGTTGGGTTTTGGGTCAGTAGCTATGCATAAGGCGTCTGCATTGCGTTTTTTGAAATCACATTTAAAGTTTTTTGTTTTTTAAATATATTAAAAATTATAAAAAAAATTGTGGAATGTTTTATTTCCAAGAATTTTCGTTTACATTTCGCAAGCAGGCGCTGGCATAGTTTTCTTTTTCGGGCTGTACTTTGTTTTGTTGTTTTTTTTTTATTTTGTTTTTAAGTTTTTTTGTATTGAAATAAAATTGATTTAATTATGTAAAAGGCAAATGAAATAATTTTATTTTTAATTTTAAAAATTAATTTACTTGATATTGTTGTGTTTGTTGTTGCTTATTTGATTTTGTTTTTTTTTTTTGTATATTTTTTAGGGTTTTTTTCGTTTTGTTTGTTTAGAAAGTTTGTACAAGAGAATGCCTATTTGTCGATTGTCAAAAAACTAAACAATAAATATGCATAAATACAGTGTGTATCTATGCATGTTTGTTTGTTGTTGTTGTTGTTGTTGCTGTGTTACATACATATACATATATATATGTGTGTACTTGTGTGTGTGTTTATTCATTTTTATGTTTTATTTTTATTAACTACTAACAATTTGGAGTTGCTGCTCCATATGCCGCGGGCTCTTTGCTTTGTCATTGTACATATAATATATATATACTATATATATATAGATATATAGATATATATATATATATGCTTAAAAATTTGGTTTGCTTTTGCTCAATCTTCGCTTGCCTGTACACCTAACCAACTGCCCCATCATTTAGAAACTATAGTAGTGCGTGGCTAAAGGTGGCCACACGAATGTTGGTGCCACATGTTGCTGCTGGTGCTGCTGCTGCTGCTGCTGCTGGGGACAGTCACCTGGCTGCCACCTGACCTATAACTGCTCCTCGCCCTGTTCGGGCTTGATCTGTGCCAGCTTGTCATGCAATATCGAATTGTTTGGCGACAATTGCGCGGCTGTTGCTGTCGTTGGCTCTCGCTCATACTTGACACTGCTGCTGCCATTGAGATCCATCATTTTGTGCAGCTGCGCTGCGGAGCTAAGCGACTGTTCGCTCTTCAAGCTGCTGGCGTCTGTTTCGGAGTCGCGCGACGTCATGCGACTGCGGCCGTTGCCATTGCCATTGTTGTTCTTATTGTGTGCCAGCTCGCTGTTGTTGTTGTTGTTGGTGGTGACGTGGGCATCCTGTTCCTCGTCACTGCTGGCGCTCGCTGTGCTGCGCATGGGGCTAAGGCGTTCGCGCTTAATATCCGCATAGGCGCCCAGCGGGCTGCCCGGACGCTTAACACTCGACTCAGAGCTGGAGCAGGTGGCGTTGATGTAATCATTGTTGCGATTGTTTGTAAATGGCAGCGGCGTCTTCTTGACCAGCAGCTGATCCAGCAGCGCATTGCCGTTGCCAGTGCCGTGGCCGCTGTTGCTGTTGTTGCCGCTGTTGATGAGGGCATCGCTGTCATTCTGCTTGAGAGTCTTTCGTATGATGCCGTCGTACATATTCTCGGCATACTCGAGGGCGCTCTTCATATGCACGCTGGGCACGTGGCCATGGTTCAGGTTGGCCGCAACGCCCAGCGGGCTGCCGCGTATCACCTCGGCCAGATGGTTGTTCAGAAATTCGTTATTGCGATTTAAGTCGAGGCCATAGTTGCCGCCGGTGTTCGGCTGGGCCCAGAACATCGCCGGCTGGAAGGGCAACTGTGGGCCACCATCGAATATGGGCAGCTTCAAGCCATTGGGCGTGCCAGCGGCGGCGGCACTCGCGGCGCTGCTGTTGTTCTTCAAAGCGTTGCTCAGCTTGGAGCCGACATTGCTGCTGTTGTTGTTGCTGTTGCTGTTGCTGCTGCTGTTGCTGCCCGCCTTCAGCTTGTCCAGATGATTGAGCCCAACCAGATTGGCATTCACCTTATTCGCAGCCCCCGTCAGCCCCACCAGATCCGGCTGCGGCTTTGGCTCACGTTTGCGCGGCCGCATCAAATGTCGCTCCTTCACCTTGTACTCCAGCGTTGAGTGCGGCACGCCGTAATAGCTGCCGGCACGATGCACCGACATCTCGCCGCGCTGCACGGCCTTGACGGCCTCGACCAGGCTGTCTCTGTCATAGTTGCGGTACTTACCGCGCTTCGGTCGTGTGCCCTTGCCAGCAGCCAGCGCCGCAGCATCCTGTGCGCTCAGCTGCTGCTGCTGCTGCTGCTGATGGTGCGCATGCGGATGCGTGTGCGCATGTGCATGATGATGTGCGCTCAGATGGCTGTGGTGCTGCTGGGCCAGCAGATTGGGCGAGGCGCCAAAGCGCGAGGTATCCGTGCCGCCAATTATTTTGGCCACCGATATGCTGGGCTTTCTGCTGGTGTTGCCGCTGCCACCGCCACCTCCGCCGCCGCCGCCGCCGCTGCTGCTGCATTCGCTGCCGCTGGTGTTGCCATTGTTGCGCTTGTCCAGGCCCAAGAGACTGTCCTGGTTGCTCTGCTCGTTGATCTTGCGCTGTATGGTGTTGGCCATCATCTTTTGTATGGATGTTGCTGTTGGCGACAATAGATTGTTGCTGCTGCTGCTGCTGTTGCTGTTGCGATAGCTGTTGCTGGCGGCTGCAACGGCAACAGCTGCTGCCAGCATTGGCGAGGCGGAGTGTGGACTGTGATCGCCATTGCGATTGCTGTTTGAGTTGTTGTTGTTGCTGCTGTTGCTGCTGCTATTGTTGTTGTTGTTGTTGTTGTTGGTGTTGGGGTTGATATTGTTGCTGTTGGTGGGCGAGACGCTGGTTGCGCCACTGACCTTGAAGGACGGAATCTTCAGTATAGGATCCTCGCACGCCTCATTGGCATCCAGCGAGGAGCTAGTCTCCGGCGTTTCAGACTTTGGTAGATGACGACGAAAGGCAGCAACTGCATTGAGTTGCTGCTGTTGCTGCTGCTGCTGGTGCTGCTGCTGCTGCTGCTGCAGGAGTGTGGCACTGCCATTGCTCTCCTGGCCCAGCATGCCGCCACTGCTAGCCATCAGCAGCGTCTTGAACAGATCGCCCAACGTCTGCGTCTCATCCAGCTTGGGCATCACCCCAATGCCCGCTGCCAGCATCAACGTATGCAGCAGGACGCTCGTGTCTATGGTGACGGGCAGGCCGCCCGCAGCGCCGGCGCCCACATTGCCGCCAGCTGCAGCGCCCGGCATATGACCAGTGGGCGTGCCGGCGCCCTGCGAATGCGTCTGCTTCGGTGACATGACCGATTCGTGCTCGTCGCCCAGGTCGCTGCCATTGTGTTCGGACATGTCGCCCAGCTTGCGGAGATGCTCGTTGACGGCCATGCGCTGCGCCAGCTCCTGATAGCCAGACGCATTGCTGTCGCCATCGCCAGCCTCGTCGCCGGACTCCTCCTGCTCGTCCAGCTCCAGCTCGTGCTGCAACAGTTGCTGATGTTGCTGTTGCTGCTGCTGCTGTTGCTGTAGATCGGGCGTCGCGCGTTTGCCATCGAGTGACATTTTGCACAGTTTGTTGCGCAGCGTCGTGCGCTGCACATGATACTGACTGGGCGCCTTGCGTGTGCCCAGCTTGTTGGCCAGCACATCCTGCAGCGCGCTATTCAGATCCTCGTTGCTGTACGCTTGCCGCCCGGCGGCGCCAAGAGGCGTGCCACACTCCGACAGAGCTCTGCAAGAGAAGAAAATTAAGAAAGCTTAGCTACAAATTATTGTATAAAATACAGATTGGCTTAGCTAACGAAATGAGTAGTCAGAGTGACACTGCAGGGAGTGTCTGACTAGAAGATACCCGTTTAAGAAATTTGTTCTGATACGGAATATGTGAGAAGTGCCTGCTAAAAACATGCAGAAGACACCTTGGCTCATATTGAAAAGTAAAGTAAGGGATCTCTCTGGGGTCTGCCCGACTAGGAAATACTCGTTAAAGAAATTTGTTCTGATACGGAATATGTGAGAAGTGCCTGCTAAAAACATGCAGAAGACACCTTGACACATACTGAAAAGTAAAGTAAGGGAGCTCTAGTGGGGTCTGCCCGACTAGAATATACCCGGTTTAGAATGTTTTTTAGCTCTTGAAAGTGAATACATCTATGCATGTTCAATAAATACATACATGTATTGGCATTTACAAAAAAGCAAAGTTAAAGTAGGGTAGGGAGTGTCTGACTAGAAGATACCCGTCTAAGTAAGTTTGTTAGATACTAAATTAGTTAGATGTGAGTGCACTTACGCTTATTATACACATTCTAGAGGTTTATTAGCTTTTATTAAGGTATGGGTGCTTTAGTGGGGTGTGCCTGACTAGAAGATACCCGCTTAAGACAGTTTTCAGATATTGAATGTATGAGTGAATGAATGTTATACACCACATTCATTGGCTTTTCTTTAAAATTAATATATGAGTGCTCGTGTGGAGCGTGCCCGACTAGAAGTTACCCTTTGCAAATCGGTTCAGTTGCTGAATTGAGTAAAAGTCACTTTAATATGTATATTTAACAAATATATATATAAAAAATATAAAAAAAATAAATATATATATATATATTTATATATATATATATATTTTTTTTTACAACTAAGAATTTTTTTATAGAGAATGCACGACTAACATATATCCTTTTTGAATATTTCCACAACTATTTTTAAATGTATGGAGGAAATAATAAATAAATAAATAAATAAATAAATAAATAAATAACTAAATAAATAAATAAATAATAAATAAATAAATAATAAATAAATAAATAATAAATAAATAAATAATAAATGTATTAAGGAAATAAATAAAGAAATAAATAAATAAATAAATAAATAAATAAATAAATAAATAAATAATAAATAATAAATAAATAAATAAATAAGTAAATAAATAAATAAATAAATAAATAAATAAATAAATAAATAAATAAATAAATAAATAAATTGTTGCTATAAACATAACAAGAATAAATAATACAAATTTGAAGTCTTTGCCTTTTAAAGCTTTTGAGATGGGAGCATTCATATAGAGGGACGTTCAGGACTGAAGAATAGTTAAACAGCCTGAATAAAGCAACTCAACAGCTATTGAAAACTAATCGACCCGCTTTCACTCTACTCAAATAGTTATAGTAGTTGAGAGCAGATATCCAATTGCATCTTAATTAATAAGTTAGAAAATTGAAAAGCTAACGAACTTTGGCAAATAGAAGCAGATTTGCAGCAGAAGTAGCCCTTGAACATGTGCCATCGAGGTAATTGAGCAGTCAGCCCGTATTATGATCCATCTGAGACCTCTTCCGGCGCATCAGTTCGCTTCTGACAGCTTCTTTTTTGTGACTTCAGTTCAAAGCGGAAAACAGAAGCTGACAAAATATTATTTTCACCCTTTGCCGATGCACATTTTTTTTTGTTTTTGTCATCTTTTATTTTCGGTGCTCATATATTGGGCACACACACACACATATGCACACTTGAGTGCAGAGACAATGAGCGCTTCTTAAATGTCTGCAGCAGCAGCAGCAGCGACGTTGTCCTTGTCAAAGGCAATGGCAAGGATGCAGCATAGAAAAATTTGTAACGTTTCTTCCTCTTTGTATACCCTGTTTTTTATTTTTTGCTCTCGCTGATTTTGGCCTGCTGCAGAGACAAAAGATGACACGCCAGGGATGAGTGGCAGAGGCAGGGGCAGAGACACGAAGATGTCAGCCTGCCAGCCAAGGCAGGGACAAACATGTTTTTGAAGTTCATTAGACGAATTTTTTTTTTTTGCTTAAAAACAAAAAAAGAAGCATTTTTCACTTAATGCCAAGCCGCACCACTTGGCGCTTTGGTGGTGCCAGCCCAGCAGCCACTCTCTGCTTGGCCGGGTGGAGCGCACTTTTGGCTAGCCCATTTCAAAAGGCAACTTTTTGTGCACAAACAACAACAACAGCAGCAGCAGCAGCAGTGAAAGCCGTACGAAATTTTTCTTTTCTTTATGCGCAGCCGGCAGGGCAGCGAGACGAGACGCAAGTAGACGCGACGAGAGTTGAGACCAAGACCCTTTTGGCAGCACCGAGTGGGTGGCTGGGTGCACTCCGAGTGGCAGTGGGCAGGGCGGGGGTCTGCCAGTGCAGTACATTGCACTGGCTGCGGAAACGCACAGCTTCTTGTCCTCGCTGTCGGCTGTGGGCCAGCACAGCAAAAGTTGACGGAAAAGTTGGGCGCACTTTTTGCTGTTGTTGCAAGGTTCTCTCTCTCGTTTTTTTTTGTTGTTTTTGTTTTTAGGATACTGCACGTCTGGAAAATGTCTGAAAATTGCGCTGACAACAAGAAGCAGCGTGCAGCTGCAACAGCAGGTGGCAGCAATGCTTGCTGACCGAACAGCCGTTGCTGCGCGCTGCTGGGCCAAATAATGTGGCCGAAAAATGCTTTGTGGGGCAGTCAGGGGTTAAGGGGCGCTAGAAAGGTTTGCAAATATTAATGAAAAATGTCATTTCAATGTCGTTTTGATTTGTTGTTGTTGCTGTTGCTGTTGGTGTCGTTTACCTTTTGGCTGCACTTCAATTGCAATTTGCCGTCGTTGCAACAGCCGCAGCTGGCAGCGACGCTGACTGCGCTGTCGCTGCCATGAATTCGGCGGCTGTTGTCGTTGTTGTTGTTGTTGTTGTTGTTGCTGTTGTTGTTATTGTTTTTGTTGCACGCATGTAGCGAGGATTCATTTGCGCTCGTGCCACGCTTGTTTTATATTTTTTCGTTTTATTTTTTCGCTTTTTTTTCTGACATTTTGTTTTAATTTGTGGCAGCAGCGGCAACTGCCATGCAACAGCAGCAGCAATAGCAAAAACAAAAAAGGGTTGATTTTTTGTTGCATTTTTGCGTGGATTTCGTTGTTGTTGTTGCAATTTTGACGCTTGCTGCAATTGCATTGGCAACTGCTGCTGCTGCTGCTGCTTCTGTTGTTGTTGCTGACATTTTTATGCGCATATCGCATTTTTTGTCGGTGCATCCCACACCTTTTGTATGCCTTAAATACACAACACACACGCGCACACACACACACACACCCATACCTTGCATCCGTTTACATACATGAAATGCACAATGCATTGGGATTGCATTTTTTGGGCTTACCGATTGCGTTGGGTTAAATATAAGTATATACATAATTAAAGTCGAGTCTGAGACTACGAAATATATAAAAATTATTAAAATATACTATAATACAGCTTATGATTGGAATATTGTAAGAATTGCAGCTGAATGAAGTAGTGCTTGAGCAGAGATGTGCCTAATTGACCCAGTGAATGTTGGCCTGGCTCAAAGGCTAGCAGTTCATGTACTTATTAATGACATTAAGCTGCTTAAACTATAAGTTGAATACCAAATGAAGTGTTTATCGTAAATGTTTAATTAAAATGCCATTCAGGTCTTTCCAGCTTTAAACTTCACACATAAATAAATTTGAGAAAAGTAAAAATCTGATATGTGATTCGTTTGCTTACAATAATTTAGTATTTTATATTAATTATATTAATTAAATATAAAATATTAATTTTGAAATAATTTCTGCTGATGATAAAATAAAAATAAAAATAAAAATAAAATATTTCAAATATTTCTGAGCAAAAAAAAAAAAAATGTTTAAAATTTTTAAATTTTATCTTTAATTACAACAAAACAAAGTCAATCTAACTGCAACTCCCACTGCATAAAACTAACTACTGCAGTTTGCCATTCAAGAGCTCAGCCATAGCCACTGCTTAACCTCTTAGCTTAACTAAATTTAGTACATGTTTTAGCATTCCTAAGTTTTGGCTCTTAGCTGCAACGTCGCCTGGGCATGGCTCGCACTCGACTGCAGCTGGCTGATTGTAGTTTTGTGACGTTCAAATTTAGAGAGTTAATTTGAAGTTTACCGAAAGTTAAGCATCTGTTAAATATTCTTTCCAGTCTGGTTTCCCTGTGTACATAATTAATTAAAGTTTTTCGTTTCACTTTTTTTTTCGCTCTCTCGTTTTTCGTTTTGTTGTCTTTTCAGTTTGCTGCGTGGCCGCTAAATTTGTCTGTGGCGGGACGCCAGCGAAAACATGGCTTGGCCAGTGGCTGGGCGGAAGTGGGCGTGGGCTGGCACAGTGTCCCGTTCCAGGGTTGAGTGTGTGTGTGACGACGTCGAATGCAATTTTGTTAAAAATGCATCAAGTGCATGTGTGCATGTGACTGCATGTGTGTGTGTGTGTGTGTATGTGTGTGTGTGTGTGTTTTTTTATTTGTGTATGAATGCAATTGCATGTTTGTTTTTGTTGCCAATGCAGGCGGCCCCAAACCAAGCTGCCTGCCCCTTGCACTCGATGCGTGCGCAGCAAACAACCACCCACACACACACACACACACACACACACTGGCATGTTTGTATATATACATATGCAGTTGCATTTTTTCGGAAGATATGCACTCATTTTTTTACGGCCAGCGCTGCTGACGGCGCTGCCGGCGCTGCCACCGCTGCAGCTGCTGCAATTTTTTTGTATGCGTTTTTTTTTTCTATCTCGCTCATTTAAGCGACATTTCATTCACGCACGCATATAGCATACAAACATACATATATAACGGCAATCAGGCGGGACAGCCAGCCAGCCAGCCAGCCAGCCAGTCAACCAGGCCGACCCACCTGAACGCCCAACGGTCATTGGAATATGACAAAAATATGGCAAAAAAAAAGAAGAATGAAGGGCAGAGGGGGGTAATGAAAAAAAAAAAACGGTTAAAAATTGCTGGCCTGCAGCAGCAACAACAACAACAACAACAACAACAACAACGACTATAACAATAGCAAGTGCACGCATTAAGCTTTTTTATTTCGCTTTTTTCACCATTTTTTTGGGGCCAAATGGGGAAAGCGACGCCGCTGTCGCCGTCGACGTCGACGTCAGCGTCATCAGTCTATGCCAGTTATTACGCTCACAATCTTTTTTCGGTGCATGTCTGTATGTGTGTGTGTGTGTGTGTGTGTGTGCACAGAGAATTTTTCGTAAACGAAAAATAATGAATACATATAAACACACAGCGACAACACGCCCCCTGCCCCGCCCGACTCTGCTGCATAGAAAAAAGTAGCAAGAAGAAAGACCGAAAAAAAAAAATGAAACGTAAAAAAAATGTAAAACGCAGTGGGGAAAAAAAAGCGATCGATATGATGCACTCATTTTCTGTCTGCTGCGCCCGCTGCCAGCGACGACGTCGGCGTCGACGCTTGACTTGGAGTGGCGATGTCGCCGCCTCATCATCAACAGCAGCAGCCTGTATATATATATATATATATATATATAAAGAAAATCCGTAATAAACGCCAAAAAATTGCAGCGTCAGTAGCTTTTGTATTTCAAGTGTTTTTGACTGAGCTGCTGGCAATACATTTGCCAACTATATATATATATATATGTGTGTGTGTGTGTGTGTGTGAACTGGACATGTTTTGGGCAAAGCCATTGAGCGCTTGTCAATGCGCGGCATTTGACTTCTTTTAGCCAGCTGCAGTTCCTGTCAGCTGTCGCATCCTGTTCACAATTTTCATTTTTCTTCCATTTTTCGTTGCTTTTTATTACAACAATTAAAATAGGTGCACGATGATGCAAGGCAGCAGCAGCAACGGCAACGGCAACGGCAGCAGCTGCTAACAAACACTTGGCCATGCTTTAGACAATAGACAAGGACTCGTGTTTTGCGGCTCAAGTGGCAGCCACAGCAGCCGCCGCCACAAAAAAAAAAAAAAAACAACAACCAAAAAAGAGATGAAAAAAAAATAATGACAAAAATTGTGGAAGTGCTGGAAAATTATGCACACGTTCACAACACACCCCTTGTCTCTGTCGTCTGAAGTGCACACACACACATAAATAATAGCCTAGGTGCTCCCGAACATTTTAGAGTAATTAAAAAAATAGCAGGCACAAAATATATAAAGGAGTTAAGATGCACACACAGAGCGAGAGAGACTCGCTTGAAATACATTTTGTATAAATTTTTTATTCTCTTTTTTGGCAGCTCAAATTTGATGCAAATTTATGCGGCCCACAGCTTGCACCGCCTCAGTAATTAAGCGTGGCCAACGCAGCGCTGGCTGCGTGCTATGGGGCGTATGTGTAATTTTCGGCATCGTTTCATAAACCGCACTCAAACCACACACACACACACACACATATGCGCATCACACCTACTTAAATGTGCACACACACACGTACACACACGTACACACATGTACACACGTGCATGTGTAATTGCACGATTTTTACATAGGCGCACAACAATAAAGCTTTCCGTTGGCCACCTCGTCCCGACCCCGCCTACGCCTCCGCCGCCGCCGCCCCATTAAGTATGCTACAATAAATGCAGTGTCAGAGGCGGGCCAGTGCCCAAAGTGCAATTATCTCATGTATTGTCTGCTGAAACACCATTTTTTTTTCTCTTTTTTTGTTTCATGTTGAATTCAGTTTTTTCTTTTTTTTATATAGTTAAGGCTGGGCATGTCGCATTTATTATGGCGCTTGTTTGCATTGCTTAACTGAGTTGATAAAAATCTGTTTATATTGTACAGAAATTCAGAAGTCAAAGTCGTAAATGTGCATTTGACTTTTGGTATGCGAACTAAGCCAGTTTTCTGTAGTCCGCAAATAATCGCTTAAGTATTAAGTTGGTAGCTAAGTCACGTTTGCCTGAGTATTTATAAGCTATGATTTTTTTAAATATTTGTAACATATGTTTTAAAAAATATTATTATTATATATTTTTTTGTTTTATTTTTTAGTTATACGTATATATATTTTTTTAATTTTTATATTGATATATTTATATTATATTTTTAGTTTATTATTATTATTGATTAACTTTATTTTTATTTTTATTATATTATTATAATTTATTATAATTATAATTTTAATTTATTTTATTTATTTAACATTTTTATTTATTTGTTTTATATTTTTATATATATTGTTAATATTTTTTAATAAATTTATTTTCTGTTAAAACCTTTTTAATTTTGATTATATTTTAATTATATTATTAATTTATTTTTTATTTTAGTTTTTAATGTTTCAATTGTCAGAATGTTTATTTATTATTTGTATTTAATATATATTATTATGCATTGGAATCCTCGCTCAATTATATCCTAAACCTAAATGTATTTACAATTTTGAAAATATTTGTTATTAAAATATTTGAAAATTTAGTTTAATTAAATATTTTAATATTTATTTTAATAAAATATTTTAAAATAAAATTTTAAGCTTATAGAGCATTTAAATATTAACTGTTTAGTTAACTTTGCTTATTTCATTCGATTCAATTTGCTTTTATTTTACATTAAATATTTTTTATTTATTATTTTTTGTTTTATTATAGAGCATTTCAAATTTGACTTTTTTCATTAGTTAATTTTTTTATGTACTGTGTTTTTTTATATAATTTTCTGTATGCGCAATGTCAGATTTATATAATATACATGCTATGTATATATTGAAGTATATAAGCAGCCCAAACGTAGGCATATTTGTAAGTAAATTTATCTCACGTGTAATTGCATTGAGTTGAGACTTACCTGGCTGTCTTGATATCACCGCTGATCGATGAGTTTGGCGAGGGCTTGCTGCTTAGGTCCAGCGGCGCATCGGCATTGTGTGGACTATGTATTGCATCCTTGAGTGTGGGACTTGGTACGGCAGCGGCAGCGGCAGCTACTTCCGAGGTAGTTGGTGTTACGGAGTTGGCATGTTGTTGACTGGCCAGCGTGTTCATCAAATTGATATCGGCCATCATGGTGAATTGGGCCAGCTTGGCGGCCATTGATTCCATTGATGTCATCTTGGCTGTTTGCTGGGTGAGCAGCTTGTATAGTTCTATGGAACTTGTGGGCGATGACGTTGTGGCTATGTTGTTGTTGTTGTTGTTGTTGCGTGCTCTACACTTGCTATTTGTGCTGCTATTGTGCAGCGATGCGCTCGAGTTGCTGTCGCTGTCGTGCTGCATGGGAAAGTTGCGTTAAGTATACGATAATTTGATGTTGTCATCTAAAAATAAGAACATTGAAGTGGGTGTAGGAGTGAGAGCTAACCTGATGCACAGCTGTACTGTTGTTGTTGTTGTTGTAGTTGCTGCTGCTGCTGGCCGTTGTTTCGGCCACCAATTCGCCTTTGGCGTTAACCGTTAGCAAGCGACCGTTAACACAGAAATTGCACTTATCAGACGGTGTCCAATCGTTGGGTTCTGGCGGTGGAGTTGGTGAGACGGAGCTACGTGATGTTGCACTTGAGTCGCGTTCCTCGTGTGATGTATTGTGGTTCTTGTCTACAATCAAACAGAATATGGTTTGCGTCTCTGCTAAGACAAGAGTTCACGTTGCTTAACATACCAAAATCGCCTTCAAATTGCAACAAGCCGTTGTTGGTGTTGCTGTTGCTGTTGCAGTTGCTGATTGGCCGGCCGTTGGACTGCTCTAAGCGTTGGCTCAGTGGCTTGCAGTGGCTCTCCTTGTACTCGCTGTTGTCTTCTGTTTCTTCGCTCGTTATTATTGATATGGGCTGTTGCTCTGCGATATTCAATTGGTTGCGCGTCAATTGCTCTTGATAATGTTTCCATTTCCTGCGACCCATGAATTCTTCAGCGACGCGTTCTAAGCCTACAAAGACATGCAAAGAGAGAACAACTTTTTATTAGACTCTGATAGAATATAAGTGGTGCCACCTGAGCTAGCTAAATTATGCATAAGTTGCATAGGTTATTACATTCTATTGCTATTTTTTTTGCTTTGGCTTTCCAATGCAAGTGCAATTTGCTTATTTTTCTATTTCAATTCGTTTTTTTTTATTATTTTTTTGTTGGCTGTACTCAAGCTTGGGAATTTGTGCAGACATAAATTACTTAATTGAATGGTAGGACAGCAATGAAAAATAAAAAATGGCTAAAAGAATTGTTGGCCCTGGCACAGGCTGCGTATGCGTATTATTACGTATACGCCACGGCTGCAAATTGATAGATTCGCATTCGTTGTTTGCATATGCGAACTGCATTTCCTTGCATATCCTTGCCAATGCCGTCTAATTGCCACAAAAGTTATGCAATTTAATGCAAAATGCATAGCCCACTCGAAACGGCGGGCATGCGTGCAGCAAAAGCAAAAAAAAAAAAGAAATTGTTGAAAAAAAAATAAAGAAAACTTTGCTGCTTTTATATGAGGCAAAAAGGTTACGCGTCAACTCACACGAAATGCGAATTAAATATCGAGGCAGAGCCGGAGAGCGCGGGAGAGAGGGGCAGAGGAGGGGCGAGTGAGTGAGTGAGGCGACTTGCCACAGAACTCTACAAATGCTGCAATTTTGGTGGCACATTTTGTAGCAGTTTTGTTGCAAGCATTTGCATTTACAAAACGTGCAACGTTCACTCTTCTTCTAGCTATGTATGCAGTTTTGTTTTTTTATATTGTTAAGCCGGAAGTTGGGTAAAATTAGTTGCGCCCCTCCGACAGGTCAGTCATGTCCTTGTCGCTGGCGCGTCCTGATTGCGCAAAAGTGCGTGCCATGCGTGCGTATGCTGCTCAAGTGGGCCACAGGCGCCGCAACAACTGCATTAGCAACAGCAACAGCAACAGCAGCAGCTGCTGCCGCATAAGTAGAGCGGCGTGTTCAAACTTTTTCAGCGTTCAAATTGTATTGCAACTGCAGTTTGTTGTTGTCGTTGCTGCTACCCGTTGCATTTTTGAGGCGCTCAAATAAACAGGGTCGTCGTCGCCGCCGCAGGGGTTGCTGCTGCTACCGTTGACGTCGCACGCACCAAAAAAGGCGCAAAAAAAGCGAGGTGAATGCACGCGCGAGACTTACGAAACTCACAACTTTAAAGTGCAGCCAGCTCGAACGCACACACACGCACACACACACACACATACAGCATTACGCACACTCGCATATGCAAGCGAAATTCCAAGGGTTGCTTGCTGCAGCGCGGTTGCATACAATGCGTTGCACGCACGCACAAAATGTCTGCCTAGCCATAGGCACGTGACTGTGCGTGTGCGTGTGCGTGTGTGTGTAGGTCTGTGTGTGGTTAGGCGACACACATTGCGTATGCTGAGCCGGTATTTCAATGCTGCCAGCGTCTGCCAGAGTAGCGTTTACATTATGCCAAGCAAGCGCCTGAATGTATGCTAAATAGATTTTTTTTGCGGCGTTCCTCTTTTTTTTCTTGCTTTCTTGTAACCCCTCTGCTTTAGACGTTGTCGATAGACACACACACACACACACATGTGTAGATACATACATACAGTATCTATTCAAGGCAACTTGTCAGCTGGCTTGCCAGTCAGTCAGCCTGCCTGCCAGCCAGCCAGCCTGACTATCCGTCTGTCAGTCTATCTGTCGCTTTGTTTGTTTGCTCGCGCTGTGGCTTGCAGTTTGCGGCTTGCGGGCGCCCTAAAACTAACAGCGCATCAAATACTGCCACAAATTTGTGAAGAGGGAAAGTGCGTTTAATCAAAGTTGAGCGCTGTTTTAAATGCCTGTTTATGCTGTCCTTTAAAAATGTCAGCAACGACACGGGGCGTATGATTAATATGAAGTTTGTTAAGCTGAGACGTACAAGCGGTACACAAAAACAAAAAAAAATACCAATTAAACACGCAAACTCATTTAAAAAGCGGCACACACATACACACTCATACACACACACACCTATATGGAAATGCCATGTGCCATGAGAGACAGGCCGCCAACCCATGAAAACTGGCAAAAGAAATGCACGAAAAAAAATGCAATTATCGATTAATGTACACATTATATGGCTCATACTCGCATTGCATGTGTGTGCATGTGTGCGTCTGTGTGTGTCTTTGGTAGATAAGCCCTTATGTATACGTAATTTATATGTACATATGTATAATGTACTCATACATAGCCGCTACCTTTTCGTATGGCATATGCAAAAGTCATACGCAGGCAGAGAGAGAGAGAGCAAAAAAAAAAACAAAAATTTTTTGTTGTTTTTTACTCTTTTCTCTTTTTTTTTGTTAATGCACATCCTTTAATTGGTGGGCGGGGGCATGTCAGTTACGCGCGTTACATAAGCAAATTTCAGTAATGATATACATAATGTATATGGCATATCTATCGATACAAAATGGCTCGACTGTTTGGCCTATGTGTTGCATTGTTCTTGTGGCATGCAACGTGCTGCCGCCTGGGCCGCCTCCCGTAGGGCCAGCGTCAACTTATAGCCATTGCTGACATGTCGACAGCGACAACCTGACATTTTTTACGGCCTTAGCGTTGTTTTGGTTTTATTTTTGGTTGCATTTTTGCCTCATGATTTGCTTTTCTTTTCTCTCTCTCTCAATTTGTCTCTGTCTCTCTCTACTTCTATTTAGTTTTTTTTTCTTACATTTGTTCTAGTTTAGTTTGGTAATACAAGTGCGTGCCATAATGAAATGTCAAAAGGTGGCGCATATAGATTATTAGACCTGTGCGGCGTAGTCTGCGCCATGTGCCGCGTGGCGTATGCTTAATGTGGCTGTTCTAGAGACGAAAAGTGTTGTATTCCAAGCACGTGCGTTCAAATGACATAAGATACAGAGCAAAGACAGCAAATATTGAAATTAAATATACAAAATAAATCTGGCGTGCATTTTACTTAAAAAAACTGAAAACTATAATAGTTAACTTTAGGAAATGCATTATTTTTCTACTTTCATTTGAGAATGAATTATAAATAAATATGAAATATTTTTAAAAAACTTAAATTTGATTTTAAAAATTTGACTCTAGTTAATTATACATTTTCTTCCAGAAAATTTTATAGGTTTTTCATTTAATTTTAAAATATATGAAATTTTTAAATTGATTAATATTTAAAAAAAACTAATCAATTTTATTTTTAATTATAATGAATTTTTTATATTTTTATATTTTATATTTTATATTTCATTTTATTTGACTACTTTGTTTTTTTTTATATATATATATATAATATTTTTTTTATGTATATATAATATTTTTTAATATTTTATTTATTGTTTATTTTGTATTTTCTTAAGAATGTTATCGATCTTTTGTTGGTCTAAGACTTTAACTGTAAAGAATTCGCCTTCATAATTATTTACTAATTTATTAGAAAATATATTTGTTTTTCTTTAGTCAAATCATAGCAATTTAAAAAAAAGATATAAATATTGTTTCCTGTCATTTGGCAAAATAAATTTTCAAAAATATTTATTTATTTTTAACTAAGGAGTTAAGATTTTTTAACTAATTTTTTTATCATTTTTATCATTTGACAAAACAAATTTTCAAAAATATTTATTTATTTTTAACAAAGTAGTTAAGATTTTCTAATTAATTTTTTTATATCAGTTATTTATTCTGGAGCTTTTAATAAATTTAATTTTAAGCAAATAAAATGTATATTGATTTTTGATGTATTGTTTTATTTTATTATTATTATATATTATTATTATTATTATATATTTTTGGCTTTAAGCGCTGAGAACTATGATTGACACATGGAAAGTCCGAAACAGTTCTGTATGAATTACGTTTTAAATATATATTTTATATATTTTATATATTTATTTATATATATTTTATTTTTAAGCTTAAGAGCTCTGAATATAGCTGCATATAATTAAGCTAAAAGTAAAATTATTGCATTCTCAAAATAAACAACAAATAATTTTAGAGCAATGCTGTTCTCATTGTATTTGTTATAGTAGTAGTATTTGGTTTTTTGAATGCAGTTAACACGCCATTGCATTTTGCATAGCATTTTGAGTAATGTCGAATGTCAACGTACTTGCAACAATTGCCGCGGCGGGTGGATTGTGGCGCCAGAGGAGGCAGAGGCGGCAGTTAGTTAGTTAAAGGACACCGTCATAGCTTTTAATGTTCCCTTGGCGTCACATGTCCTGCCACAACAACAAATTAGTTACCAGCAGCAAGACAGAGACAGAGAGTGAGTGAGCAAGTGAGCGTGCGATAAAATCCGAATAAAACAAAAAGTTTCAAAAGCCAAAAGTGAGTAGCAAAGAAATGAGTTTCGCTAAAACAACAAAAACAACAGCAAAGGCTGCTTAACGAACGGTATCCAAATGAAAGCAGCTGAAAGAGGAACTAAAAACGGTTAACGGTGAACGGCGAGCGTCGCGTCGCGTCGCGCCGAGTCGAGTCGTTTGCCTGTGCGTTTTGAGGGGCTTGTTAAATATTGTGTGCAATGAAAAGGACATGCGACTTCTCTATATGTGTGTCAGTGTGTGCGTGCACGTATGTGTGTGTGTGTAACACGTGACAAGTTTGCTTGTGTGTGACTTAAAACGCTTTTGGCCGAATTGTCCAACTCGCAAGGGAATGCAAAGCGGCAGCGTTGAAATGTAAATGAATTGCACAAAATGCAAGGACATACGCAGCTAAAACTAGTCACACACACACACACACACACACACACACACACACACACACATACTGGGATGCAACCCTTGCAAAACTGCACAGTTAAAACCTGCCTCAAAAAATGAAACGAAACTTGAAAAAAAAAACCCCGAAGAAGACTTGGCAATTTACATACTGACAACAGCAACAACACAGCTGCAGCTGTACATGTGTGTGTGTGTGTGTGTGTTTAGAACTTTTTGTGTGTCAC